ATAATTCTGGCACCTGAAGACGTGTCTCAGAAGGACCCTTGATCTAGGCAATACTGGTCTAGCCGTGATGTAGATGGCAGATTTTGACTGAGAAGACAGTGAAGAAGGAAGAATAAGAGAGGCGAGGAGAAAAGGAGAGACGGAGGAGAAGAGCTTTTGGAGCAAGAAGAGCAGGCGAGCGGGGGCTGACACGAAGAGCTTGAGGGAATTCGCAGGCCCAGTCAGAGACGGCATGATGGCCTGAATAGGCAAGTTTCTTATCTAATCGCTGCAAAGTGACGCCCGCCCCTCTTGCTCTGCGCCTTTAGGCAGACAAGGCCGGAGTATTCGTGCGGAAACGGTCCTTTCGGCCGCTCCTGCATGGCCCTCCTCGACTTTCCGACCTCTGTGGACCAGTAAAAGGTGTGTTTTGACGATGGTCCAAAGGGGAAATCTCCTGTAGACTGAGGTAGGCGCATCCGCTCTAGACGCGCCTAGCCTACTACTGTACGTTCGAAGTGGTGTGCTGCTCGCCCCACGGCCGAGAGCAAGGCGACGCCCTGAGACCAGTTGAAGCGACGAGATGGTCGAGCTTTTCTTGGCTCTGGGGAGTCAAGGCCATTTGAATTGATCATTTGTGACGGTAGTGGTGTTGTGAAGGAAGGGATTGGGTGGTTGACTCAGACAGAAGACCCTTCGGTCTCTGGGCAAACCGCCAAACAAACCATCGCAGGGTCTGAATCGCCAATGACCCCTCCACCGACGATGTCCGCATTCCAGCGGGTGGCAGGTTCTCGTTTGACGTCGGCGTGACTTGAACAAAGCTAGGCGCCGTTAAACATGACGTTGGGGTGTCTCTTCGTCATAGCATGTCTGGCGTGACCGGTTTCTGAGAACTTTTCACTGGAATATAAACCGTTGCAACGCCTTCCACGGTCCAGAACCCCGCAAGACCTCACGCCTCGACCGTTTTTCAACCATACCAGCCAGCCAGCCATTCCGATAAGAGCAGTGGAATTCTCCCGCTCCGAAAACGATCGAACCCAAAACTCTTTCAACGGAAACATCCGAATCTCATAATCATGCAGCCCGTCACCTACCTGGGACTGCTCTTCATTTGCTCAACGCCGGCTCTCACGGCACCTTCGCATGTTCACAACCATCTGCAGCGCCACAGAGATCGCGCTGCAACACACGCCCACATCAAGCACGACCACGAAATGCTGGCCAGACGGGCCGAACAAGTCCGACTGGAGGCCATGGAGAACGCCCGGCTGGAAACTCAATCAAATTCACCCGCGGACAAACCAGCGACACAATCCCCGTCAGAACAAGGGCCGACCGTAACGCTGTGGGGACAAGAAACCGGACCCAAGACCGCCGCGGCCGGGGCCGATGAGGTGGTAATACGAGTGTCCGGATCGGCTTTTGGGTACGGGAGAAGCAAGGTTGCGGCGCACGGCGAAATCGACTTGGAGCATGTTGTGGAGGGTCTGGACAGCCGGCAAGTGGACGCGGCGACACGGCTGTTACTTGCCCATGCCGCGCGGAAACATAGCGGGTTCCGTCGTTAGGTCTCAGCAGGAGGAGGCGTCTTTGGGTGGTTCGTGCGGCTTCATGTGTATTTTTGGCTGGAATGGTGGCTTTCTGCTTTGGACTAATCGGGCGGCGGTGAGGTCTGGAAGAGTTGGCCGAGATGAAGATAGAGAGCGACTTGCTGCAGGATCAGCGGGTGATGCGCGGGGGAACGTAGGGCTGGCTGGTATTTTTAGTAGTCAAATTGTGGAAAAATATGATTCTTCTTCTGGGCAGTTGAGACGATCCTCATTGGTATGTATTGGCTCTTGCGTTGATGTCGGGCAAACTCTGTATCGTAGAGATGAATTGGCACACCCACCAAGAATGAACCCTGAACTGCACTGTGACTGCTCGTCATCGTCATCGGATTTTGCAGTGCATGTCGTGTCAGCATGCGGATGGAGAAGGCGGTGGATTTGGCTGTGTCAGCGGCGCTCTCGCATCCCTGCGTGTATCGAGAATCCGCCCTGGTGCTCCTGGAGACAATGTCTGTCTCGTCGAAATGCCGGTGCATATCAGTATTTTGTGTGCTGAAGCGGCTAAAGAAACGAGGGCGGGTCGAGGGTGCTCCCTTTCGTTAGATGATGGCGCTGATCGGTGAGAGTCCCTGACAGTTATCGTTGGGGAGAATCTTCGAAATAGTTGAGGCGGCCAGCAGTTGACATCACAGTCGGAGATATTTGTAAGAAGCATTGCGGCGATGGCGACTGCCGTTTCGTTTCGAGTCGTGCAAAGCCGTCCCATGTTGTTTCCTGCGAGCAAGGCGGCGTGTGTCAGGGTGACGATCCTCCGAGCCGTGCGATGTTTGAGAAAGAAAACTGTGTAGTCCGGTGTTTTTGTCAAGTGAAGGTACAGTGCGGATGAGTGTGATCAAATGGCGCGAGATGATTGGCGTGTAAGCCCTCAAATGACCCACAACAGCTTGCAGGCAGGGAACGGGGTCGGGGTACTTTAATCTGTGATCTTAGCACGGGCAACTGTGCTCCCCGTCGCGCACGTTGGCAGCCATGGAGCCCATTTGGGTGAGGTGCGCCTCCAGCTGAAAGAGCCACAGCGAGCTTCCAGAAGTCCCTGCCTCTGCACTGCAATATTCCGGCCAGCCTCTTGTCCAACCCAACGGCACAGCACAGCAGCCAGTCACGAGGGCAACACTGCACCTTGTCGATCCCACTTGCAGTTGGAGCTCTCCAACCCATCGCCTTTTGACGGCTCCCACTTTCTCAGAACGCTGCCTCTGCCTCCACCTTCCTTCTCCTGTTCGTCCCCTTATTACGAGCATCACACGTTTCGACAGCCACTGCGCGACACCTCCTCAGCTCCAGCAACACGCCGCCCCTTTCCTTTCCAAGAAGAGAACAATACTCACCGTTACTATTGCTGCGCTTGCGACGCCAACATCAATTCGCCTTGGTGCTTAGGGAATCCTGCCTTACCTTATTAATCCATCGTCAACCCATTCGAAACATTCAAAGCACCCGATTGCTGGGGGAGCTCCGGAACGCTTGGGCTCGTACTTATCCACGCCAGAGCCGCAGGGAGACCGCTTTCTGTGTCGAATCCGAATCCCTGTCGAGTCTTTGCTTCTTGCCCGCTTGCTACCGTAGCATTTACGAGCCGCCATCTCCTGACTGTCAACTTGCCATTGTTGCACCAACTCAATCGCCCACAACAGACCAGCAGCAATCGCGACGTTGCTCGACCGTCGCATCCCGACCATTATCTTCTGCACGCGCACAAACCCTCATACCAACCTCACCCGTCGCGCACCGTCGAGCGCCAAGACTCTCTCGCGATGCCTTCGCCAAGGCAACTGCGCACCCTCCTGATCGGTGTCATGATCGGAGTGGTCTTCGTCCTCTTCTACACGTCATCACTCCGATCCGGCGAGGCCAGCGACTCGCGCTCCGTTCAAGACTTCTACCACAAGACCGTCGAGGGTCTTAACAAGAAACCTCCACCAGGTCAGGCAGTGCTTGACCAGAACAAGGGCAAGGCCGCCGGCCATGTGCCCACCGACAAGGACGCCGACGGCGATATCGACGAGGACGATGCGAAGTTGGCCAAGGATATGCAGGGGAGGTTGAAGGCTGCCGAGGACAAGGCCAAGGAGTCTGCGAACAAGAAAGCGCCGCTGAAGCCTGACGCACCGAGCGAAGTCGTCGGAAAGGGCAACTCGGCCGCGGGACAGGACAAGAAGAAGGAGAAGACGGGCACCGCAAAGGACGTCTCAGCGGAGAGCCCGAAGGAGGAGAAGAAGGAGAAGGAGGAGACCGCCGAGGAGCATGCTGTCGAGGTGGAGCTCAACTCGATCCTGAAAAAGTCGCCGGGTAGGTCGAGCGCGGCAGCTGGGAATGAATATTTGCTAACTTGAGATCAGTCATCATTTTCTCCAAGACGTACTGTCCTTTCTCGAAGAAGGCAAAGGAGATTCTGCTCAACAAGTACTCAATCTCCCCCGCCCCTTACGTCGTCGAGCTCGACAAGCACAAACTCGGACCCGAATTGCAAGCTTTCCTGGGCGAGAAGACCGGCCGCAGAACCGTTCCCAACATCTTGGTCAATAGTGTGAGCATTGGTGGAGGCGACGACATTGTCGAGCTAGACAACCAGAACAAGCTGTTGCCCAGGATTGTCGATCTTGGACAAAAGAAGGTTGAAATGAAGCTGCAGACCGCCGACGGGTTGAAAAAGGAGAAAAAGAACTAGGCCGGGCGCGCTCTTGCGTTTCCTTTCTATATTTTGCATCCTTTCTGGCCGACATTATCTTCTTGGAGCAAACTAGGGATACGGTGGGAAACTGGAGGAGGATTCCCCAGTAATGGACATTGCATACTCGGCGTTTGGGATCGATTCAATTCTCGTCACCTGCAAACAGACCTCAGCCAGCGATGTCGAGTCTTTCCAGAATCGCGACGGCGGACGAAGTCAAGGAGACAACGGCGCGAGACAGCGAGAGCCCTATAATGCGGAGGGACTTGTACGATTAGCGCGTTCAAAGAATAGATGACTATGCCGTTCCGTCGGCCGGTCGTTACTTCCTCCGTTCAGCGTGTCCTTCGATAGCCGGGTCATGGTGCGGCTGGCCAGATGGACTTGCACACCCGAGGGCACAGATGGCCGATTAGGCCTTCGATGAGTTCATTAGGCTAACAAAACCTTCAAGCGACGCCTTTCTTGACTCACAGTTATCAGCAAGAAATGTGAGAGATGTTAAGCGATACCGATGTCCTGCCTTGACGACACCTACCAAATCACAGATTGAGGCTGGTGAACTAGATATCCTAGTTGCTCACGTCTCTCTGTGGGCTTTCTGACTAACCTGTTCCCTCTACCTAACCTTCACCTCGTTACGCCGAGGGCGGATGTCTCTTGAGACGCTCCAATTGCGTCAATTAACATGGCGGGGCAGGGTCCTCACGATCCAGCTGAGGCTCTTTCTAGCTACCCCGCCAAGATCGGCAGCGCACCTCTGTCCAGGATCAGGTCTCCATGACACAATCCGTTGGCGCGTGTTGGCCATAAAGGTGTCAGGTACGTTCAAAATCAGGATTCGGGCCCTAATGAAAGCTTTGTACCTGTGTTTCCTGTGGTTGTTGCGAAAGCGCTTGTGTTCATTGTGTCTTTGTCGTGTCTTCTGAAGACTTCCAGGTGCCCCGCGGCGGTTGCCATCGCAGCCCCTCGCCTCTCTACGAAGCTTCCAACAACCACAATCCTGTTGAACTACAGGAGGATGCAAGCACGACAGCGACAATGTCACACATGCCTGACTAATGTAAGATTAACTGCGACTCTTTTTGACGGCTCGCTTTCTGACACCACTTTTTTGATCTAGATTTCTGGGGCGGAGCGCAATCGCCATCATCAATTGAGAACCCGGATGGTCCACGTCGCAACATGAAAAGGCAGCCGGGTTCTCACTTGCGCCTGCGAGATGTGTTGCTCAACAGCCTCTCCCGTCTTTCCGTCTCATCCTGCCTCTTGCCTTTTTACTTTCAGAAACCACGTGGTCACGGGTGCTGAACGGCGTGGCGCCTGACATTTCATCCCATATCGTTGACTTACACACATCGACTGCTAGTGCTGCCCCTGGCGCATCGTCAACGACCACCCCCTCCAATTCACTACCTTACTTAAACACCTCAATCAAGACCATATTCCCCCTCTAATTCCTTCTTGGAAACACTCGAAACCATCAATTGGACTTGAATCACTTATCAACAACCTCTACTTCATCATCTATTCTTGCATAATGTCTCTTCTCCCTCCACACCTGCTGCTCCTCGTCGCGGAGCGCGCGGGCTTCTCAGAGATTCAGGCCCTCAGAGCTACATGTAGAACGAATCGTGAGCTGCTGGACCGGTACGAACATGCCGTGACCAGAATCAACGCCGCCCACTACCCCTGCGCACCCTGCAACCACATCCTCGCCTCCGACACAAGAGAGCGCGAAGTCCTGCCCAAGGACACGTTCGAAATCATCCGGGAACTCGAGACGCGCGAGAGCAATATCGAACAGCTCATTAACGGCGCCTTCCTCGCCTTCTGGGAAGAGTACGACCTCCAAGATACCTCCAAGGCGGACGTAATCCGCGCCAGCCTCACCAGCGCGCTCTGGCGGTGCTCAGAGATTGCGGACCTTGAGACACACTCCATAAGATACAGAGAAGACATCGTCCCGCGGAGAGACCCCTGCGTCAAGTCGCTGATTCACCAGGACATCATCCTGCGCGACGCGCCACCGCCGGACGGCTGGCACCTCGCGCTCAAGGAGGTCCACCAGTCAAATCGGCAGGACGTGCGCTTCCGGCAGCTCGCCTATATACGGAGCCTGTCGGCGCAGGAGCTGGCGGGTATGGTTGTGCTCTCGCACCTGACGAGCCAGGGGTACATGCGGTACCGGGCGCCGACGTCGGCGGCGTCAAGACCGGAGATTGTGGAGATGGCGGTATGCATGGCAGAGAACACGATCCGGCACGGGGTATTCTTCTTGTACAGCAAGATCAAGGGCTCGGAGGACGCGCATCACCATGCGAGGCTATTGCTGGACGACACATACGAGGAGATGCGGCGGTGGGAGGCAGGGGATCCGAGCGTGTTGCCGGGTCTTACGATGACCGTTGCTTCGCAGCTTTGCGAGAGGGTCGGGTGTGAGCACAGAGATCTGTTGCGGGCTGCATGTGTCTTGGTTAAGGGGGGTGTCTGGAAGAAGGAAGAGGACACGGAGCAGGCGGAGGATGTTGAGCGGGAGAAGGATGTCGGAGAAGAGCATGTTGGAGATGAGGATGTCCCTGAACTGGTGCAGGTGGTTGGCCCTTGAGACGAACAGGGGGTGTGAAGGTGGCTTGATAGAGATTTATGAGATTCATGCGCTATGACCCTGCCACTGGACTGTCTCAAAGAACGAAGCGATACTTGATACTGATGGCTTCTACATGAGGGCGAACCAACAGGTATCGTTGTTCCCTGGAGATATATTGGACTGTGATAGCCATCACAACCTCCGCATGTGTCCCGCGGCCAAGGATCAAGGCTCTGTTGGCATGAACATTGCTTCCTGATGGCGTCGGAAAGTCTCGTCGAAACGATGGATCCCTACGAGGCCCCGGATCTCAGCCTCAAGGGGGCCTCGTCGACGGAAGCCGTTCAGCAGCTCTGGAGTAGCTTCAGGCCAGGCATCCACGCTAGCAGGAGACTGTCAGAGGCAGCCCGGGATCGCGAGATTGACGTCTACGCTTCGTGGCTTTTACGTCAAGCATTTCTGGGATGCCTGGGGCATAACGAGACATCCCCTCCATCGCTGAACACGGTTGATGAGGGGCATGAGGCCGACGTGACGGGTTCTCTGGACGGTGCTTGGGGGTTGAGGAGTCGGCAAGTGGTCTTCAGCTGAGGCGTGACGGAGGGACGCTGGTTTATGAGGAGGGTCTTCATTGTTCTTTCAGAGGGCACTGGGAACTGATACCCAAGGACTTGAGCACGAGTGATGGGAGGATTGTTCGAGACTCTCTGGCTGATGTCCCCCGTGCAACGTCACCAGAGAGCCGAAGCCGAAACTTCCCATGGACGGCCACCCTCTCTTGTGCCGGATGCTAAGGTTACCCTGTCTCCCTGACAGCCAAGTATCACCTCCAGGAGACAACGAAAGAGCTTGCAAAAGGAGACGATCATCACCAGCAAAGTTCAGGACCGCCAACTCTTTACAGGTCAAGATGTACCCAGGCAGGGGCCGGAGACGGGTGTCTTCAACGGCTAGGACCTGCCATCCGAGACCAGGTCCATTGCCGCAGAACGAAGGAGACCGAGAGGCTTGCTCAAGTGCTTGAGTCAAGATGTGTGTTGACAGGCTTTGGAGTTGACGCGTCGTCAATGGTTTTCATACCTTTCTCATGGGGTCCCTTGGGTTAGAGTGCTTTGGTGGAACCCTGGTAACGACTGGAAATATGCCGTTCAACAGCCCGTGGGATCGCACCTGCTGGAACTACTAAGTGATACCGAGCTCGTCTGTCTGCTGGGACGCTGCCCATAGCTTCCTTGTAATCCAGAGAGATCTCCAACCCCTTCTCCATGCCGAAATCAGAGTCGCCTAGTATTGCGGAGGAAGGGCAGATCAAGTCGCCAGTTTATATTGCAATTGATGGCAGACGACTCTTGCCCTGGCAAGAGAAAGAATGCTAGCGCGGCTTCAGTATGGGACAGCTCTTGGTGCCCTTCCCTCCGAGACGCGGCATTGGCTCTTTCGTAATGGGAGGAGGCTGCCATCTGAGGTGTGCCGAGGGATGAAGTCTCCCAGAATGTCAGACCTCACCCTCAGTGGGGAAAAAATACAAAAACGTACACGTCGACGAGGCTCCAACGTCGTAGGACACCCATCCCCTATCTCACATCATCCTTGGAACGCTTCAAGTTAGGAATCCCCCACAGCAATCAGGCAACCAGGCGGGAAACCAGGCGGGAATCCAGGCAGCCACAGGACCTCGAGAAGGGCATCACCGTAGGACTACAGTTTAAACTGGGTCAGCCGTGGGTAGATTCTTTCTGCCTGGCCGAGCAAAGGGGGAAAAACAGTATGGTACTTTTCGGAGGGGGGCTTGTGTAACCAACACCCGACCCCCGGCAGTCCAGAGATGCATGCCGTGGGGTTCCAGTGGTCAGCAAGCCAACGCCCGGGATGCCAAGCCGGTAAGGGATCGCCGAGAGATCGGGCTGCGGCGTTGCGTGGTAGACAAGCTTTCTTCTCTCTTTCTCCTAGCGGCCGGGGAGCCGCGCGGATGGGCGATGACGTTCAGGTACGAGTGGAAAGCGGAGTGGATCTTTGGCGTGGTGATGGCTCATTGTGATGCGGAAGAGTCGCTGTGGGGCTGTCTGAATTCTGCGACATGACGTTTTTTTGAGAAGGACATCTTCTTACGCGGACATGTTCATCTTGTCAGGAAAAAGAAGACGAACAACACAGCGAGAGATTACGCGGTACTCGGGCAGAATGCACTCAACACGAAGCAATAACCTTACGGACACGAATCTGCGCCGCAGAGTAAAAAAAAAAAAAGATGACGGATGACACGACTGCGTTTTAGCGGTGATGTTGCGCGTCCCGTAATTAGCGGGTTTTGCAGTGTAGGCTGCGAAATTATGCGCGAAGAGTCATCGGGTCGTCTTACACGCATACGGGAGGACTGCTGATTGGTCGTGAGATCGACGTTGGCAGCATCCCGCGGCGGTGGTCTGTCGTCACGGGCCACGGCGGCATCCCCGCTGATCTGTCTTTGCTTGCAATGGATCCCTGTTAGTTACGTTCCGTGTAGGACCGGACCTTGCGGGATTCCTAGGACCTGCATCGTGGCTCAAGGCCGGCAAGCAGATGGAGCTGATGTTGGTGGTGATCCACCGCCAGGTGACTCAGGCCAATATCTCAAAGACAGGGTTGCGATAATGTTCAGCCAAGTCACCGAGGGACAGGGAAAGGGAAATGGAAAGGGTGTCGGATTTCTCTGTCCGATATCCATCAGCCCGGGCTAGAGAGAAGAGGTTCGAACCAAGGACAACAGACGGGCTACCAGTTTGCTACGGCGACAACCTTGTTTTCTTTGGCGAATTGGGTCTGGATGCCTGTTGTCTAGCGGTTCCCCTCTCCCCTTTAGTCTGGTTTGCGCAAGCAGGGAGCTTAATTTGAGCCCTATCTTTTCTTTTGGATCCGTTGCCGGGAGCCGAAGAACGCGTCGCTTCTTTCGTGGAGCTTACGGCCCCCGACGGGACGGATTAGTTGATTTGGTAATATTGTCGCGGTCGAGTTAGGTGCTCGTGAGGCAGTTGCGTGAGGCACGTACGTTTATCGGTATGTTCGTTCCGTTTTCCACTGCAACTTTTGTTGCTTTCATTGCCGATATTGCCAATACAGCAGCGGGCGATTGCAGAGATGATGGCAGCGCTTGGCGGCCACGGGGGCTGAGTACCATGGCTTGCCAATGCAGCTAGTCTGCAGCATTATTGCCTGTGCCCTCTTTGTCGCCGTGGGAGACTTGTCCAGAGGTAGACAGTTTTGGGGTTCAGCCAGCGTAAGCAGGAGGCAGCAGTAGTGTGTCCAACTGCCGTCGGTCCGCTGACAGCCACGGGGGGGAACCAGGACTCGACAGGACGTTCCGCAAGGCTTTCGGCGTTTGGGGGATGATGGATGGCGAGGCATGCAGTGCGAAGTAGGATTTTGCTGTGCAAGCCGGGAAGTCGCTACTCGCGTGAGTCACGGCCGAAGCAGATGGAAAGTACTTTGGTAGTTTGCAGGGAATGATACTGCTACTTCTCTTGTGTTCGCATTGAAGGGGTTGACGAACCGGCGTCACTCCTGTCCTGCATGGGTTGTCGCTGTCAAAACGTGTTGTCGTAGGCAAGGGAGTGCCGGGGTTACAAGTTACAAGGCCGGCGAGTTGGAAGAGGATAAGCTCACAAGCTTTTTTCCCCTTCTTCTTTGCGTTTGCGTGGTGAGACCAGGCCTTCAAGGACTCGCAAGAAAAGACACCGGCTCCCTGGGCTGAGCTACGCAATGTGCGGGGCTGCGCTTGTGTCATTTCCGGTGATTTGGTTGGGTGGACTGCCTCTGGGCGCACAAGAGGCGGGGGAGGGGAAGGGAACCTAGTCCTCCTCAAGGCTCAGGGAGAGAGGGGGGAAGACGCGGATGTGTGAGTGCGTGCGTGTTGCCTTGCGAAAGGGGGACAATACACATGGGATGGATGGAATTAGAGGTGGGCGGTGAACTTTGGGGGTAGTGGTGTGTGTAGGTTGGAGAAGGGACCATGCTTGTTCTGCGCCCGTTTGGAGTGACGCGCCAATTCCCACTGGTTCGCCCGTTTACCATTCGGGACACTGGATTTCTTGGTGTGTCCTGGAGATACATCCAGAGATACATACAGGCGATGCGGGTGACATTGGCCTTGGGGCGGTGCATTTCTCGGAAGCATATAAAGAGCTAGGCCAGCGCCGGATGAGGCTGCTATCTTCCCATCTTAGTCTCCGTCAGCAATCAATCAACCTTTCACACATTGACACCCTACAAACACACAAAAGCACCCTCATCGTCTCGACCAACTACTCCCAAGTCGAGCAACCACTACAACCAGACAACACCGTCAACATACTTACCACCAACACTACCACCACATCACCCAACACCGCAAACATGGGCAGAGATTCCTTCTCCGAGACCTCCACCATCTGCTCCTTTGAGAAGGAGACCTCACCAGAGGCCGTCGCCCCCGTCAAGCTCTCCAAGAGACAGAGAGTGAAGCGCGCGCTCCGAGATATCGGACACCCGCCCACGTACCGCTACGACCTCGAGCACGGCATCGACACGATGAAGACTGTCCCCGTCGGGCCCCAAGGCTCTAACGTCCTCAACCAGCCGTCGCGCATCTAAAAACGCCCTAAAAAAAATTCAATATTTTGTTACGCAAGACATGCACGAGCGAAAAGGGGGAAAGACGTTCTCTTTCTCCTGATTACAACGGGATACCACTGAGCGATGCACACAAACGGCGGGGCGTTTTGGCGGGGTACTTTCCTACGGGAAACCCTGATGGGCTACATTTCTTTGGGTCATGAGATATTTCTATAAAACGACAAAAGACGAGGTCGTTTTCTGCTGTTTTTCTTTGGTCTCGCTAAGCGGGCCGGGTGTCGGCAGAGACGGACCTTGGGGCACGGAGGCATCGCGGGCGGCCGCTGCTTGTAATGAAGCGAGAGGGCGGATCGGGAAGGGGTCGTGGATGGCCTGCGGGTTTGCCGTGTTCCAAGGATTGGGTCGACACTGGGCTGGCTTTCAGCATTTTTGGGAGTTGGGAATGAGCAAGATTGCCGGATACCCCAAGATTCGGATTGTTTGAATAGAACAGATACCAACAAGCTTTGTTTCTTCTTGTTAACCATTTTGTGACTTTTTGCAATCGTGATGAGCTTTGCGTGCCTCTGACATAGGAGACACACTGCAACGTGATGCTGACTGCTTTTCTTGTATGCATCGATTCCTTCCACCTGCCATTATCTCAAATCACCATTGTCAAAAGAGTGTATCACTTGCACTTGATAAGTGGCAACGCTGCATTTCTCGGTTCTACTGACGGCGCAGGGAACCGGGCCCCCAATGGGCTCCATTTTTGCCGTCCGGTCCTGGAGGCCCGGTTGAGTGGGGCGACCGGAGCGGCGAGCGATGGATGCATCCCATCCACCGGCGGAGATGTGTAAGGTAGGTACATACGTTCGCCTCATAGCCTTACCAGTCAGAAACATCTAAATTACGGGAAGTGGCCTCGAAATGTTGATGCATGTTCAGTCCTGGCTCTGAATGCCCGCTGTATGCATGCTCGCTGCCACGGCGGAACGCGACCTCGTGCAGAAGTCCAGCATGAAGGAACTACCAACGTGAAAAATGGCATGCTGAGGCCGCGTAATTACCCCGACAAGAAGTTTCGTCTTTTTGACGTTGCCCTTTTTGAGCAAGACTTCCACTCTAGGCAATCTCGGTATCAGATGCGGTGCATGGAAGAGATGAGCAAAGTACGTCGCGACCCCGAACCAACTCATCGAGGCTGAACCCAACGGTCACTATGCATAGAAATTGACGTAAGCAAACTCAATTCTGCAAGAAGCCATTGCGCGGTTCATGTCTATCCCATGTTCCTGAAACATTTCTGCCAAATGAATCTATTCTCGGATCAACAAAGTCTGAGCGGCGGAGGGACACGGGAATAAGACCGGGGCGCCGGCTGTGGTACGGCACGCCGTCTAGCTTAGCAATCACGACATCTCTCGGCGCCGAAGGACTTCATCTCACCCGGAAATTATTCAGCATCAACGTCCGCGGGAATACTCGATCATGAGTACACTTCGACAATTGGCATCCCGGACATGTTCGTTGCATCGAAATACAAGTACAAAATGGATTCAAGCCCCCGAGGTCGACGACATGGCAAGCCACACGTAACGCATCAACCCCCGTTAAACATCAGACGGCCCTTACATCATAACCCAACAAGCTTATACATCCTCTCCCAAAGTTTGCCGTTCTTTAGCCAAAAATGGTAACCATCCCAAAGACGCACAAAGCGGTCGCCACGCCCGCCAAACGCGCGCCCCTGATCCTCCTCGACCGCGCCACCGAGCCCCCCGGCCCGGGCGAGGTTCTCATCCACAACGAGTGGACCGCCTCCAGCCCGCTCGACCTGCACCGCGCCGACGGCGGCCTGCTCTGCACGTACCCGGAGGTGATGGGCGGCGGCGCGGCGGGCACCGTCGTCGCGGTCGGCCCCGGGGGCGATGGCCGTCTGCGGGCCGGCGACCAGGTATTCGCGTTCGCGTTCCACCTGCCCCGCGAGAAGGCGCACCAGGAGTTCGCGACGGTGCCGGAGTACCTCGTCTCGAAGCTGCCGGGGAACGTCACGCCGCAGGAGGCCGTGACGGTGCCGACGAACCTGATCACCGTGTTTCACGCGGCGACGGCGGATCTGGGGCTGGAGCTGCCGTGGCCGAAGCCGGCGGGGTGGACGCCGCCGGGGGGGAAGGGAGAGGCGGCGGTGGTTGTGTGGGGGGCCGCGAGCAGCGTTGGGGTGTACGCGGTGCAGGTGCTGCGGCACTGGGGGTACGGGAACGTGATTGCCGTTGCGAGCGAGAAGCACCATGCGTATCTGAGGAGCATCGGCGCCAGGGAGACTTTTAGCTACCGGGACGGCGATGTGGCGAGGAAGATTTTGGGGGTGGTCGGGGAGGAGGGGGTGCCGTTCGTGCTGGACTGTATTGGGTCTGTTGAGGGTACGCTGAGGCCGTTGACGAAGATTGCGGGGAGGGGGACCAAGGTTGCGGTTATGCTGCCTGTCATCGTGCGAGATGCGACGGAGGAGATTGAACCCGAGTATGAGATGGATGTGAGCAAGGTGCTTGTCGGCGAGTGGGCTGCGGGCGTCGAGGTGAGGGGAGTCCGGACGCATTTTTACCTAGAGGTAAGTTTCTTTCTTTGCAACCTTTCTTTGCAACACGATGTGGAAATAGGTGCTAACTTTGGACACAGAACGAGTTCTTCAAGGAGAAGATGCAGAGGGAGATTGTTCCCACATTGCTTGAGGAGGGCATCATCAAGCCAAACAGGCAGAAGATTGTCGAGGGCCCAACCATGCTGGAGCGTGCTCAAAAGGCCATTGAGCTTCTTCGAGCGAGAGATCCTTCGGGTGAGAGGCTTGTGTGGAGGGTATCAGATCTGAAGCTGTGAGGATGGACCAAGCAGCGTAACATATGTAGGGAGGCCGCCTCAAGGCTGCCCTCCCCGTTCATCACTTTATCCAATCCAGTTCGAAATGGGGTCCTGAAATGCTTTTGACTCTGTTCCTGCTTTTGTAATCTGCCGACCATCTGCTGAAAGAAGCTCAAAACTCCGACCGTGGGAACGAATGCCTCCTGACCAAAACAATAATTAAACGCCGGTGAGTGGTCTTCCGCCGCATCTCTCCCACCACTCTTTTTTGGTCCAAAACCTCTCCAACACATGTATTACGTCCAACAACGTCCATTACGCCTTGCGGCTCTTCTTGGGCTCCTCCACCTCGACGTCGTCGTCTCTCTCGTTGTCGTCCGCAACGTCCCTGCTGCGCTTGAGACCCTTCATCTTGCGAGTCTGCAGCTCGCTCAGGTCCTGGCGGCCGACGTGGATACGTCCCATCTTGTCACCCATGCTGTCGGTGGTGATGTTCTTCTTGGTGCGCTCCTCGGTGCCGCGCGGCTTCTTCATGGCCTCCTTAAGCATCGCCTCGTCGGGCTCGCGCTGGCGTCCGACGCGGAAGTCCATGCGGGGGCCGATCTCGTTGACCTCGACGCGGGGCGCCTTCTGGCCGCTGCGCTTCGTGCTGATGGTGTAGCAGCGCAGGCGGATGGCGGGCTTGTCGTTGCCGTCGGCGGGCTCGTCGGCGGTGATGGAGACGATCCACTGCAGGCCCTCGACGTCGATCTTGTCCGTCTGCTCGCCGCGGAAGAAGTCGATGAAGAAGGAGCGCGCGTGGGTGTACTCGTTGGCGATGGGGCTGTCCCAGGCGGTGCCGGAGAAGTTGAGCATGGGCTTGAGGCCGATGGGCACCTTCTTGCCCTTGAACTGGGCAAGCGTGCGGAAGGACTCCGGGTCGAGGTAGAGCTCGAGCATGTCGAGCACCTTGTGGCCGAAGGTGCGGATGAAGGTGATGGCGTGGGGCCTCTTCTTGGAGGTGTGCCCGAAGACGACGATGGAGGTGTCGTTCTTCTCGGAGAAGAACTCGATCGAGTCGGCGTTGTCGAAGGGGTGGATGTCGTTCTTCTTCACGAAGCGCTTCGCGAGGGGCTGGCGGAGCTGGTAGAGCTCGTTGAGGGCATCTTGGGTGACCTGCGAGCACGACGTTCCGCGGAGGAAGAGGGCTGTCTTGGGGTTCTCTCTGTATGGCGGCGGTGATTAGCTTGCGGGAGGAGGTCGAGGTCGAGCGAACGAAGAGGACGTACTGGGTCTTGGCCTCGCGCTTCTCGAGCGCGCGCTTTGAGCGAGCGTTACGGGGCTTTCTGTAAAAGATTGTTAGATCGTTTGATGGCGAGTGCTCGATTCGGGTGGTTGCGACTCACATTTGACGAAGCATTGTGCCGTTGGTCGAAGAGTCGTCCGTCGGGTGTTTTGCATGTGGCTGGGATGCGACTGGATCTGGGACTTCAACTGGAGTTGCCGTCAAAAAAATTGCTTATCTTCATTGGAGAGTTTATCTTATCTTATCGGTGCACCTCGGATCAGCTTTGTCGCTGCCAGCTGGCGCCGCTCGGCAGCCGAATGAGCGGTGGGTCCTCACTTACACCCTCGCGAAGCTTTTCAGATACAGCAACTATGAGCATTAAGTGCGATGTCTAGTACTACGATCAGAAATTGCCTCTCTGGCATTGATTCGTCGTTTGAAATATTATTTTGATTGTCTTCTTTTCAATTTCCCAAATTTATTGTATGACGCCCGTCCAAAACGTTACTAACATTCAATGCAGTGAACAACGTGTAGATTAAGCCACTGTAAGCATGTTGACTCAGATAATCACTTGATTCAGGTTGTTTGAGTGGTTGGTCATGCGTTGCAAAGGTAGATCAATTTATTAATCATAATACCTTGAGAGCTTGTTTGTGTCAATAAACAGTAACCCTTTACCAACTTGTGGGGACTCACTTCTGGCAAAACCACACAAACACAGTCTTGGTGCAAGTTCAATACCCCGTAGCCAATGTTCCCCCTTTTTCCGTATTTTTGCTCTTTGATATCATGTGTGCGCGACCTTTGAATATGTACATCGAATTCATCATTGGTTCTCAAAGCCATACGATCTAGTTCACTAGCTCATACTTCTGACTCACAAGACCGAGACCCTCTCTCGAGTACAGAGCCAAGAAGTGCGTAGGGTCGAGGTTGAAGACTCCAGGCCAGTGAGCTTCAGCCTCGCCCGTGACAACGCTGGCGCTCCATGTCTTGCCTTGATCGGTACTTGTAATGACCTTCATTTGACCATTGTTGTACCCCTTTCCGACATCGACGTCCTCGTTGGTCATGAAACTAGCCACCAACGTGCCCCACACATTGTAGACCTGAGGGGCACCAGAGAGCTTGCCATCACGGGCAGTGTACAAGCTTCCACGCTCTCCCCAGCTGTAGCCGTCGTCATGAGAAAGGACATAGTCGACGTTGAATCTGCCCTCTCTTGTGTGCTCAAACACGGCACTGCGTGTGGTTTCTGTTAGTTTATGTGCCAAAGCATGCATATCCAGAAGAGAACTTACATCAGGTTTCCGTTGTTGTCGATGGGCGCAACACCAACCATGCCATCACGAGAAAGACGGTCTCCACCAGAGACCTTGACCCAGCTGGACCAAGTCTGGCCTCCATCCTTGGAGTACTTCATGAAGTTGTCCTGGTCATCAGCCGAGTTCTCGGCAGAGTAGTAACACTGCAGAGTGCCGTCCTTGGCGATACGGAGGAAGGGCTCCCATAGTCCGTTGACACCACTGGGGACATGCTCCTCGACGGTGGAAAGGTACTTGAAGTTCTTGCCGCCATCGTCGGAGTAGGAGACGGAAATGCGGAAGTAGGTGTAGTGCAGGTCCGCTCCGGTGCGGTCGTGGTTGCGGTAGGCGTACAGGATTCGGCCGCTGGGCAGCTGGAGAGGGAACGCGTTGTCCATGTCGTGCTTGGCAACTGCGCCGCGGAAGACTTCGCCAATGTGCTGCCACGACTGCGCGCCGTCGGTAGACTTGACGACTCGCATTATCTTCGTGTCGCCTTCGGTTGCGCCATAGCCTCCGATCAAGCTGCCGTCGTTCATGAAGCTGACGCGGAGATAGTGACTGTTGGTATCGATGACTACGGGCTCGCCGGCTTTGACGACGCGGCCGGGCAGGCGCTTGTCCAGGGAGACCGGGCTGCTGGCTCCGAGGCCGACGAGAGCCAGAGTGGCGACAAGGGTCTTGGTGAGGTTAAACATTATGATTGACTGGGAGGTTGAGGACTCGAGAGTGACGAAGCAGTCGGGATCACCAGCCTCGAGTCTGGATGTGCTTCTTTATGTATTGCATCTTCTCAACGCCCTATCTTACGAGACGCCTGGTACAGCAGTCTGACGGCATGTACCGGTGCCATCGTGGTTGTTTTGCTCCAGCCTTGAGCAAGGTTGGCGATGCAGTCTCCCTGGGCTCGTAATTTGGCTGCCTGACAGGGGAGCGGGTAAAATATTCTGAATTGGGAAACTTGCCAGGGCCAGACCATCGAGCTGTCATCTTTTTCTGGGGTTCGTGCTGGGCGGAGGCCATGTCCGGATCCTTCGCTGAAAGCACCCCTGTTTTTCGCTTTTACGACTTACCGCACGCAATTCTTAGTTAGGCACGACCACATTGACAACATGGTATGATTTTGCTTCCTCAGAATCCCTTGAAAAATCAGGAGAATGGCGTTCAACCGCTGCAAGTCTACTTGGGTACTGACATCTATCACGGCAGATCTCAGATTCAAGCTGCGACACAGACTCTACTTGAGATTCTCTCAAAAGTTATATTTGACGAGGCAGCATCACACAACACGGTGCTTAGAATGCACCCTATTTAACTGTTCGTTGTCTTCCGATCCCATGGACCCACAGAAAAAACAACCAAGGCAGCTTCACCAAAGTCCCATTTGCGACTCCGAAGGATCGTGACCCTGGGACCCATGTGGTGGGTTACAACTACTCCGCCTCAAAGCGGCCCCCTCGGACTATTGCAGCTTCAAGATTGACAACCCAAAAATGCGGTCTGACTTTAATCTCAATGCAGAGAAACGGCGAATTCGGGAGCAACCGAGGCTAGTCAATGTGATGCTTAACGTTGGGTTCGTTGCAATAATAGCGAATTCAACGAAGTGATGCGTACATTGGTAAATTCCTACAGGATCCCAGGCAACAGCTTAACACCCCCCACCCTGATCCAACAACATGGACAACGGCATGGATTCAGTTGTTGGCCCATGATACGATGATCTGGAGTTGAAGCGACAACACACTTGCCTTCCTACTCCATTGTTTCTGCAATAGCAGTGCACTTAACCTCCACAACCAGCTTTGGACTTGGCAACTCTCTCACCCCAATGGTCGTCCGAGCCGGAGCCTCCTCACCATTTGGATAAAACTCATTCCATACGGCGTTCATCCCGGAGTAATCCCTCTCCATATCCACCAGGAATATCGTCGCGTCAATGACGTTTCCGAGGCCGCCTTTGTTTGCAGTGGCATGCTTGATTACCTCTTCTATGTTGCGGAGGATTGCGGCTGTCTGTTTTCGTACGTCCAACACGTGAGTGCCGTCGCTTCTTGTTTCGACGCCGTCGAAAGTCCCATCTGGGCGCCTGGAAGAGGTCCCTGAAATGTACAGTGTTCGATGACTTGTGGTGGGCGCCAAGCGTCCGCGGGGATAGTTGGCAAGGCCAGTGACGGTGCCTGTTGGGAGAATGACTGCGTCGCCATTGCCGGCCATGTTATCTGTTGATACGATAATGTCGTGAATGATGAAGAATTGCGAGCGAAATCTTGACTTGTTTTGCCCTAAATAACGATAGTTGAGAATATTTCAAATGACTGAACTGGCCGCTTTCGGATGCGGGTTCCGGTATATTTGTCTTTCTCGAAATAGGCTTGTAACTTGCTATTCAGTGAGAGTATCATCTATGAGTTGGGAATATTATTGAGCGGTATCGGAATGTTTCCCTCGGTGTTTTGCTTCACTCTCCGCCGATTTACCGGCGTCATCTTCATTTATGCCGAGGCGGCAATAAGGTTCACCTCGGGCATTGCAGCCGAACACCGCAGGGTGCAAGCTTGAATTGACTCGTTCATCTCAACATGAGCATCTTGTATAATACTCCATATTAATATTACCTCGGCCAAAACTGTACAAAGACCGTCAGCCGCAAAGGTCTTCAGACTTCAATTAATACAAGTGAAGCGCTACATATGAAGTCGCTCACGGATTCTTGAGAACGCTCGACTCAAGGTTAATCATTTTCAGCTTGATATAAAAATCGGGAGAAACCATGGCGAGTCTCACAACATGTCCGCCCTTGACCAGAGAATCGGTCTTTGAAGCACGAAAGCTCATCCAGACTCATGTTCACAAAACTCCGGTCCTCACAAACAAGACTCTCAGCCAAATGGCGTCCACGCCGAGGGCATCTTCTACCCTCGGTGACAGAAAGCCTGCCAAACCTGTCATTAGACTCTGGTTCAAGTGCGAAAATATACAGCGCATAGGCGCCTTCAAAGCTAGAGGAGCATTTCATGCCATTGAGAGACTCAAAAAGGAGCCCGGGTGGCTTGAAAATGGTGGGAAGACCAAAGGAGTCGTTGGATTCAGTGCAGGTGAAATTGAGAACAGCCACTTAGGCCCTTGGACTAGAAGCTGACAATATTTTGCAGGAAACCATGTACAAGCATTGGCACTGGCAGCCAGAGAAAATGGCATCACAGCGCACATTGTGATGCCAAGCACCACTCGCCCTTACAAAATCGACGCCACCAAAGGATACGGCGCTAATGTTGTCGTCTGTGGCCCCAAAGACCGTGAAGCTGTCGCGGCCAAGATTGTCTCGGAAACAGGCGCTCGTCTCGTTCCGCCGTTTGACCATCCGGACGTGATTCTCGGTCAAGCAACCGTTGGCTTGGAGATGCAGGACCAGATCGAGAGCCTCGATGCCGTCATCACGCCATGCAGTGGCGGCGGTCTTCTTTCTGGCGTGGCATTGAGCTGCGAGGGAACAGGAGTGAAGGTTTTTGGGGCTGAGCCTGAGTTTGAGGGTGCTGATGACGGGCGTAGAGGCTACTATTCAGGAAAGAGAGTGACTGAGGTCAGTACCAGAACAATTGCGGACGGTTTGATCGGCGTCGTTGGGGCGAGGCCTTGGGGTATTATCTATGAGAGGAGGTTGGTCAGCGGCATGTATGCGGTTTCCGAAGCGGAAATCTTGGAGGCTACAAAGCTTATCCTGGAACGGCTGAAGTTGGTGGTTGAGCCGGCTGCCGCCGTACCACTGGCTGTTGCACTATTCAACGAAGAGTTCAGAGCTATGGTTGAGGAAGAGGCTGGTGAGAAGGGCTGGGATGTCGGCCTCGTGCTGAGTGGCGGGAATATCGGCGTCGACGGACTAGCGAAGCTTTTCTCTTAGATGACGAAGAAGTGCGTATTAAGTAGCAAATTCAAATAATGAACCATGAAAAAGGGGAAAACCATTCGACTCTTTTAATCTAGTTTCGAGGTTGTTTTTAAGCTGTGTTTCCTGACCACGCCAGAGTGTGAGCATATTGTGGAATGCGCACCTACAGAGACTGCCCTTTTTTATGTTTCAACAAAGGTGTTAAGATCCTGACCTACCAAGATTCTCCCATAGCCCCTAGAGCAGCGGACTAGGCGTCTAGATTTGAGATGAGTTTCTCGTCCTGTAGCGATTTGAGATTCAAGAACTAACGCAGCCGGAAAACTTTTGAGTGCAACACGTTTCAAAGTTCATCCCATCGAGACGAAAAGATGTCAGCGTTTGACAAGCGAGTCTGTCAGCATTTCTCAACTGTCAGTAGTTAAAACTACAATCATGAATAGAACGACATCTTCAATTAGTGATATACGTTACCTCAGAATACTGACGGATTTCTGATTGCTACAGGTCATGTTCTGGGGTAAGCTACTTATAAAGTAATTGATGATCTCCTCAACTGAGAGCATCTCAGACAAGCTATTTCTAGCATTATTATCGATACTTTCACTCGCTGGATGTAAGTGAACGAAACTAAATATGATGTCATCAAAGGTCGGATAAGACATGGTCTTACTGTAAGTAGGTGGGCAATTCAAACAGCATTTTCCAAGCTTTGATAAGAGAGCCAAGAGCATCAATAACACAAGGGGCTAGATCTAAGCCACTTATTACTTCGAAAATAAGGTGTGTCTGCCTTATATGATACGTCACGGACATGCCCGCCGTCAAATTTAAGGTTTGAAGGGCTGCCCCTTGAAGGTTGCACCCATCTAAACAATGCGGGCGTCAAAAATAGACCTGCTCAACGCAGATCCATGACTCGGAATCACTCAAGACTCAGTAGAGCATGCGGACTCCACATGGCCTCTCATATTGGCAAATATATGCAAAACGAATGATGTTCATCCAAATGAATCATGACTAGAGGATAGACCGGTGAAGATACGATATTTAGTTCGTCTGATCTCGCTCGCGCGGGTGCGCGGCACATGAACCGCTCGCGGTCAAGTCAGTGTATCCACTAACGCCGAACATTCGTTCTTTCGCAGGCTAGGTTTCCAGCCGTTTCTCTCATTATGTACCGTTTTCAATCAGTCACTCTTTTTCTCGCCCTCGTTTCAGTGTGTTACTCCCAAACGTCCGAACCAGCACCGTCCGCAGTTCCAAGCGGCACAAGCGCGGACTACATAATATATGCCAAGGAAGGTACTAACAAGGCCGACGGCGATGGCTTCGGAAATACACTCGCAGGCCTTGTAGGTGAAGAAAACAGGGACATCATTGCCAATGACATTGGCATCCCCTTCGTCTGGCGCGCAAGCCTCACTCCCGATCAGCTTGCAACGGTCAAAGGCGACCGCGTTGTCGCCGAGGCCGATATCAACAACCCTCTCACCCGCGACGACTGGGAGCCGGATAGGGCGCAGCCGTCGGCCACCCAGCAAAAGCGTGCCGAGGTCACACAGATCCCGATCGCCAAAAATAACATCTTCGACCTGCGAACGCTTTCGACGCCGCCGAGAGAAAAGGAGTCGCTCCCTAACTACCGATATGATGATGTTGCCGGCCAGGGAATTACCGTGTATGTCGTCGACACCGGCCCGTTTGACTTGCAACATGAGGAGCTCCGCTCTTCCGATGCCAGTATCACCCGCCGTGAGTTGGACCTCGCCAGAGGGAAGGAATTGGATCTTCAAGATCGCCAGTACGGGACATGCATTGCTTCCAAGACTGTCGGTGACACATCCGGGGCGGCAAAGCGGGCAAGTTTAGTCGGAGTTCGCATCGACTTCACCGAGTTCGGTCTGCTCCGTGGACTCCAGGCCGCCGCCGACGAGATCAGAGGGAAGGGACTGCAGGGCAAGGCCGTCATCTCGGTATCGATTCTCACGACTGCGCCCAGCGCTGCCTACACGACCTCAATGCGAAGCATCATCCAATCTCTGATCAAGTTGGATGTTCCTGTCGTGACTGGAGCTGGAAACAAGTTCCAAGATGGCATCGAGGAGCCTCACAAGTTGCCGGCAGTTCTGGCGAAGGAGCTGCCCGTCATCGTGGTCGGTTCAGCCGATAAGGACTTTGGAATTTCTGCGTTTAGCCAACGTGGCAACCTCGTAACAACGTATGCCATCGGCGCCGATGTCATGTGCGCTGAATCCCTCGAAGCGACCAGTCTCGCGACACACTCGGGCACCTCTTTTGCCACGCCTCAGATCGCAGGAATGCTGGCGTATTGGATGTCCCATCCTGACTTTGCCCGTGACTTGTCGGCAGGCTCAATTGCTGAGATACTCCGCAACATGACGGGTGCTCTTTCATACCCGCGTGTCGCTGAGGCCGGATACCCTCCCATCGCCTGGAACGGGTACGACCTCGCCGAATCGTGTTCCGACTCGGGCAGCGGCAGCACAAACGGAAGGAGAGCCAAGCGAGCCATGAGGCGCGACCTCAACCAGGCGTGTGCGTATGCGCCGAAGCCCGTCGCTTCTGCGGCCCCGACGGCGACTGCTGTCAACCCTCCAGTGTCTGCAGCTGATGGTCCCACAACGACAACAACGTCACTTACAGAAACGGCGACCGCCGCACCGGGAACGTGTAACTTGTGTGGTGCCATGCTTGATAGCGAGAACGCTAGCAACCTGGGAGGGCAAGTTGACTGCGACGGTGCCGAATATGCGCAGAGTTCGTGCGAGGCCAACCCTGACTGCAAATGTAAGTTTTGCTTGTTTTGTCCACAATACCACGCTGAAAATATGCTGACTGGAGATCGCAGCATGGGCCTATGGCAGTGACAACAGTGGCACATACGCCGTCCCTGTCTGCCTTCTCTTTACCCAATCTGCAACGGAAATTGTTAGCCAAGCGCCACCGGACCCAGAGGGCAAATGCCCTTTCAGATACCACGACAAATCTTGCCCTGCGCCTTAAAGAGTTCATGTTTAATGGCGCCTTCTTGTAAATTTTTAGACGAAGTTGTACATAAATACATCAGTTCAGAAACTCGCTTTTCTCGTATTTTCCAACTCAAATGGGGAAATACCCAGAGTGCAGTTCGACCTGTAAAGTCACATTTCGACTGCCCTGAATTGAAATCATAGGTGACAGTAGACCGTTGACATGTTCCATTGAAGACTCGCATACCTCATATCCTATGAACGCCTGTGCCATGGTCAAGAAGAACGTCAAGCCCCAGACTTGGTACCACTCTCCATGGGTGCACGTCAACAAGCCTATTCCTTAAAGCAAAGATGGTGTTGTCGTCAGTTTTGAGGTTTCCGCGGATGCTCTCAAGCAGGCTTCAAGCAAGCCTTGCGCTGCGGTATGGTTTGAAACTCTATGTGAACTTACAGATTACCATCCAATTCATACAGACGTGCCTAAAGTAGGTAGGGTGAGGGAGAGCTGAGAGGGTTCGTCAAAGCTAAGCTTCAAGCACCCCCTGAACAGTGTTGTGGACAGGGTACATGTCTACTGTACCTACATTGGTGTTTCCCCACAGACCAGCCGCCCGCGCGGTGTGTTCAAGTCACGGAGGTCGGCCCCGGTTTTAGGCCGTTTCAGGCGGATTATGTGCCTGTTTCTAGCTTATATAAGCGCTGAAGCCCGGAAGTTCCATGCCGAGGCCGAGGCCGACGTTGTCACGAAAATCGGGCAGAATATGAGAGGAAACAGAGGCTGGGGAACGTAGTATTCCTAAATATGTTTTCGGTGACTCGTTCTTTACTTCGGCGGATGCGCGGCTCGACTTACACTGTAGTGCGCTCGAGGAGGCTTTCGGGTCGACAGAACAGGCAGACGAGCCAGATACCATGTCAATTAGGCAACTGGGATTCGGAGGGGTCGTTGTTGAACATGGTCATGATGTTGACCAAGCGCTTATGGAAGCGATATAAGAAGGAACGGGAGAATCAAACGGAATAAGCTACCGTTCTTGTCCAAGCTGTACCGCTTTAGCGACGAAAACGTAACCGGTATGTTCAGATGCCAAGGCCGTTTCATACCATGGGAACTTTTTGAAGTTGCTGGCTTAATGGATTATATAAGGCTCTAGCTTACTAGGTACGATTGGCCATTAAATCTGAACTTTCCCGCTTTTCTCTTACGCTCCTCTCGTTCTACATAGTAAGTCCCCACTAGTCGTAGTTCGCGGGGACTGAACGAGGCATTTCATTGGGCCAGTTCAACGAATTTCGATATCAACCAGCTATTGAGATAAGAACCCTGCGTCGTTTTCGGATGCATGAATTACTCGAGCATCTTTATTTTTGGGAGCGGTAAGAGAAACGAAGGGTTGATACGGATAAGTCGGCAGCGGCGCTAGTGGCGCCGCTTTCGGTATCGTCCCGGCGTAAGCACACCGGATCTTAACTCCGCGCAGAAGCATCGCTTCCGCGTATTTATGGCTGACGCACCGTATCAATGGCGAGTATGATTTCCACGCTGCTGCTTTCCTTATCAAGACAGTCTTAGGTCAGCGGCCCCCGAGTTCCAGGTTACGAGGGACCCCTCGAGACAACGATGCCGGCCTGAAAGTCCCAAGGCCTCGCATGTCCGGCTGTTCTAGGTTTATTAGAGAAGTACAATCTTGGATAAAAAATAATTTGACCTTGGGGGACACTAGCCGGTCTGTCAGGCCGGCCACGAGATTCTCAAGCCGTTGCTTGCTCTTTACCTGAAGCCGCTCCTCAGTGTGAGAAGCCCCATTTGTACGTATAATTTCTTGTGTTATTGCTATTTGGGCTGCGTACTAGGCCCTCTACTGGTTTCATCTTGCCGTATGTAGGGCTTGGGGCCCATTCCCACGTGGCAATCAGCCTAGCCGACGTGCTCTTGGCAGGTCGGCGATGGTCGTGACGCCCGACCATCGGCATTTTGGTCCGCAGCTTGTCACCCAAAAAAGCGACTGTTAGATTTGACAGGTTTAAGGTTTAATAAGAGGCGGTGCATTTGACACCTGGTGATCTCAATGGGCAAGTTCACGAATAAGTTGGCTTTTCATGCAATTCAATGGAAACCGTCAATGACTTGGTGACCGGTATCCCACATAGTAACGATTCACAACGGCAATTGCTCAGTACAATGTTAGGAGACTGTTGTCTATCAAATCATGGCTGTAAAGGCGTTCTGGACGCCTTAGCTTCACGATATGTTCGTCGCGTGCGGGCATTAAAAGATCAGGTCCATCCCATCTTCGTATTCCCAGTCCCGAGCACCATCGGCCTCACCAGACATTCTTTTGTTAATACCAGCCTTCTGCTTTCAGCATGACCTCCATTCGCTTCTTCATCACTCTTTTACTTACACTCATTTCAGTATGCTGCTGCCAGGAAGTGCCCGCTTCGAGGTTTGGGACAACAAGCTGGCGTAATCAGACCTCTGCTCCACCGCGGTCTTCGCTACCACCCTCCAGCTCGTTGGTCCCTTCCTCTGCCCCCCAGTCTAGAATCTCTTCCTCCCCACCACCCACGCTTCCCCCTGCCACCCCAACACGAGCATCCTCATCAGCACCCTCGAGAACATCGTCCGCGCCTCCAAGCACCGTCACCGTCAGCAATGGCGAGACCATTGCCGTGGCTGCGGGAGTCCTCGTAGTCGGTGGTGCCGGCGGCGGCTTCTTCACCCTGAATGGCGTTACGACAGCTGTCCCCGCTGGGGCTGCCATCACAGCTGGATCGACTGCACAAAACCCAGAGAACCCAGACGACCCAGGGAACGAGGCGACCAAGAATCCAGAGCAACAGACGCCTTCGGAGGCACCCTCTAATGCGCCCAGTTCAAGTGTACCTGCCTCAACTTCAGGAAGCCCGACCACCTCATCAGCCGCCCCCACTGGTACGGCCGCCGAATACATGATCTTCGTCAACAGGAACACCACGAAGGCAGACGCAGACGGTTTTGGCAACACCCTCAAGACCATCGTTGGTGATCAGCCACTCAATTCTATTGTAGATGAGAATGGCATTGCCTACATGTGGCGCACGAAGCTCAGGCCGGACCAACTCGATAAGGTGAAGGCTGATCGTGTCGTTGTTGACACAATTCTGTATCAGAAGGGCGCCGCTGAAAAAGACCCGACGCCAGACCCTGAGGACAAGGATCCGGAGGTCGAGCCGGCTCTGGGACCGTCTCCGTCAGGGACCAGTACCGCGCCATTGGCGAAGAGAGCGGACTACACGCAATTGCCCACGGCTAAGAACAAAATCCTCGATCTTCGAACTCTGTCTACACCACCCCAGACCAACGGTATCCTGGAAAACTTCTTCTACGAGGATCCTGCTGGCGAGGGAATCACGGTATATCACATCGACATCGGGCCGTTTGCCATGGACCACGACGAGTTCAAGACGGATTCCAAGGCTAGGCGAGAAACTATTGAAGTGAACCTCGACAAGGAAAATCGCGTTGCGGATGCGGACCACGGAACCTGCGCAGCTTCCAAGATAGTCGGCCAGGGAGTAGGCACTGCCAAACGCGCCGGCCTGGTTACTGTTCGAATTGACGCGGATCCTTGGGGCGTCATCGAGGGCCTACAGGCTGCCGCTAAAGACATCATGGCCAAAGATCTTCGAGGGAAAGCTGTTGTCTCTATTTCTGTCGGCGTAGAGATTGTAGACCCGAAAGAAGACCAGGTCATCATCGACTACATTCGCGAGGTCCTCCAGGCCCTCCAAGAGTGGGACATTCCCGTTGTCTGTCCCTCGGGTAACAACGGTGTTGCAGGCCAGACAGTCCAGGTCAACGAATATCCCGCAATGTTCGCCGATAAGTTCCCAGTGATCGTCGTCGGCTCGACCAGCAGAAGGCTCGAGAAGTCCTGGTTCAGTCAACAAGGCAACCTTCTGACCACCTGGGCCGTCGGCGAGAACGTGAGGTGCGCAAGCTCGACCAACCTCGCCGGGCTGAAGTTCGAGACTGGCACATCTTTTGCGGGTCCGCAAGTCGCCGGAATCGCGGCCTACTTCATGTCGCACCCCGATTTCAACAAAGGCTTCCGCGTGGGCAGCGTCGCCGCTGACGTGCGCGATCTCATCGGCGCAACTTCGTTCCCGCGCATCACCCACGAGGCGGGATACCCGTCCATGGCGTGGAACCTCTGGGGCTCGCAGCAAGCGTGCTCCGTGAACGGGGGCGGCAGCAGCGGCGCACAGAGCAGGGTCATGAGAAGGGCCCTGGAAGGTCGACAGCTTCCTGCTTGTTCTCTCGCGCCCTCGTCCGCGCCAGCGACGGCTGCGCCAACAGCGGCACCTTCAGCGGCACCTTCGGGAATTCCCAACGGAGGTCGCCCGACGACCGGCGGTCCGGTCACCACTACAGTAACTTCTCCTGCCGAAACAGCCACCGGACCTCCAAGCTGTGGTGTTTGCGGAGCGCAGGTCCCGGATGGTGTGAGCGGAGAGATTGGAGGGCAGGTTGGCTGCCAAGGGGGGATTCCGTACGCGCACAGTTCTTGTGAGGGAAATGCCAACTGTAAATGTGAGTTTCCTCCCTTGCCTTTGGAAGAATGTTTTCTAGGAATCTTGAACTAACCATCTATTACAGCCTGGGCTATCGGACAAGAAGACAGAGGAACCTACAGCATCCAGGTGTGCCTATTCTTTGACCAGAACGCCCCGAAGATGGTTAGCCAGGCGCCGGCTGACCCAGAGGGGAAGTGCCCGTTCAAGTACTACGACAAGGCGTGTCCAGAGCCAGCGTCATGAGTTGATGCTGGTGGTGTGGAGTTGTGGAGACATACGCGCAGAAAAAGACCAAGATTGAAATGAATTAAACAATGTTAAAATTACATGGTCTTTTGCAGTTCAAAGCTTCTTGATGGTATAAATTGATGGCTCTAGATGGCCCAGCGTCTCCATATTGTTTCAGCAATTGTCTCCACACCACCCCACCTCTTTCACAACGGGCAAGACCAGTCAATGTCGCGCTGTTTGCATGGCATTGCCAAAAAGAACGCTCAGTATCAATACTCTCAATGTCCTGAACACGTAACGGAATATCAGCGGAATACTCACGAACCCCTGAGGATGAGCGGCGAGAACGATGACTATATTTCGGTTCCCTTATTCCAAACCGAAAGTCATTGGGAGTTCGGATTCCAGGGGGCGGTGTGCATTTTCAAATGCTAATTGAAGAACCAAACTGAAGAAGATTCGATTCCCCATACATTGTTATTCTTTGAGTCTTTGAGTAGCTTAATACTTTTCCCAACCCGAGCAGGCGGGTGGCCGGAGGTTTAGTCGACTCTACCAATGCGCAGTCGTTAGTGAAAAGGGGTCACGGAAACATTGGAGGGTGCGCTTTCAAGTATCATGTCTTCACCCTCAACTAACCAGGCGAATAACTATTTATATGACTGCCCATCTGGTCCCTACCTACTTTTCTGAGGCAAGAAATTAAGCCTTTGTACGTGCACGTTTCGAGCAAGCCTAGCTCACGGATGATGAGTCGCGTCTCACATTTCGAGCCCGTTCCCATTCTCAATTACACCAGCTGCTGCATGGTCTCTTGGCACCTTTCAACGTCGCTGTCCAGCCAGGAGTGCATGTTGCTGAATGCTCCGGTAGAGACAGATACTCAACTACTGAGGTGCAGCTCACATCACGCGAATCGATGTGCCGGCAGGATATCTTAGGCTCTGAAACTGAAAAGTCCGGATGCGGCAACACAACATTTACCTACAATGCAATTCTCTTGTCAGGTTGCTCAAGATTTGTCATTCGAAATATATAAACCTTCCCAAACTCGAAGATTGCCCAAGGACCTTCACCTTGAGTCTTTGAACCCACGTCGTGCACGACGCTCTTCTACCCGGCCAATGCAGGGGATAAAAGGACTAGCATATAAACAGGTCAAGGCCGGGAATCTTTGAAGTTGGACCCGAAGCAAATGAATCCGACGTAGTGGTCTATGACATTGCGACGAACGCAAGTGATGCCGCGCTACAATCTCAGAGGCATCTGAGCAGCCATCCTAGACGACACCCACTCAAAATCACCGCAAGCCTGTCTGATTTGCGTTGCCGTCGTCCTTGATCGTCGCCTTGGTATACTGGGAATACATGAGTACCATACTGGTTACATTAGCTTTCACTCCCATAGGATACGATGGCATGATGCCTGGCGCGCATGTCTGGAAGCTGAACACGCACTTGGCCGTTACATTTACTGGAACGGTTTGACGACTTGAACTCATTGCGTCTTGTGTTAAGAGCACTTACACGAGGAGCCGCCTTTAAATAGGTAGACTGAGATGCGTGCCAGAGTCTTCACGACTTATGACCTACTTGCCCCCCCGCGATCTCAGCCCGCCTTTCACCAGGGCTCATCTCTCTACCTCAACACAACTCGAAGACACATTCAACACGCACACCCAACTTCATCAACTTGTTCAATATGATTTGATTCTGAAAAGACAATGGTCTCAACTATGCCCCAACACGCCGTCCTCGGACGTAGGAAGTTTAAAAAGAAAAGAAACCCGCACAATCCAAAGTCTACCCACTCCTTGCCCCCCCATGCGGCGGCGATACTCCCATTCAGCAAGTATCCTACCCTCGAGGGCAAGGGGGAAACAAAGTAGACACCAACAAGGGGCGAACGCAAATCTCATGCATTCCCTGGCATCCGGCCGCCCCCGTTCCCCAAGAACGCCCCTAAACTCCGATTTCCCTAGTATCTTTCTCTTCTTGATGCTCTTTTTTTGTGGACAATCAAGTGCAGACCAATGTGCGTTTTGTGTAAGTTATTCGCGGTTCCGATGCCTGGGTTCCACTTCCGTCCGATATGGAGAGAAACGAGGAGCGGTAGCCAAGTCTCTGTATCCAGAAATGTGAGAAAAGGAATGTTTTCCTATCCGCCATCCGTCCCGGGTTTCGTTTTTTCTATTCTGTCGTGTTTGACTCGGTTTCCTTAGGAGTGTGCCGTCGATCGAGAGAAGAAGAAGAAAAGACAAAGTGAAATTCTCTGATCCGAGGCCTGGTCTGGTCTATGGCCTATGGCCGGCGTGGTTCGGTATGCACATCTTTCCTCGTGTGCTGGGTGGTCCGTGTTTTATCACGGTAAATTGAAAATGTGGGTATAGCCGGCCGGAGGTTACGGGATGGAGCTGGTATCGCATGAGAGGAGGTCCGGCTGCGGTCATGGAAGGTCCTATGCCGTCTGGAGGCAGCGTGACCGAGATCATTGCAACAAGTCCTTGACGTTCTCTTTTACGCTCAACGCCCACTTCAACTTCGCCAACGTCGATCTCGTCTCTTCCAACAACCTCTCCTGCTCCGCTTCCCTCTCCGCCGCGTTTGTCTTGATGCTCTTCAACGCCTCCTCTTGCTCCGTCTTGTAATCCGAAAACTTCTTCTCCATGTCCTCCTTCTGCCGTTGCAGCTCCTTGATGTTGCCGTCCTGCTGGTCGCACAGGTCCCTCAGCGTCGTGATCTTGTCGTCGTCCCTCCTCCTCTCCTCGACGAGCCCGGCAATCTCGGCACGCAGCTTGAGATGTGCGCGCTTCACCTCGTCGCCCTGGTCCTTCCAGTGCGAGCTGATAGCGTTATACCGCCCCTCCATCAGCGCGGCGTGCGTGTTGGCGTCCTCGACCTGCTTCGTCGTGCTGGACCGCATCTTCTCCATCTCGTCGCGCCACATCTGCTCCTTGGCCTGCGCGTCCGCCGTGCGCTTCTTCTCGAGCTCCACGTTCCCCTGGAGCGTCTCCACCTGGCGCTCCTTGCGGCTGAGCAGCGTCTTGGTGACGCTCGCCTCGAGCAGGCGGCTCTCGTAGTCGCTGATCAAGCGCTCCATCTTGTCCTCGACGAGCTTGGCGGCCTGCTTCGCCTCCTCGGCCCGTAACCGCTCGATCTGGATGTCGCGCTTGAGGGCCTCGTTGTCGCTGACGAGCTTGTTGATGACGCGGCCCGTCTTGCCCAGGCCCGCCTTGCCGATGGTCGAGTCCCAGCCGGCGCCTTGGGATTCGGCGGCGGCGGCGGTGTCGTCGTCGACGGGGGGCGAGGCGTCCCTCGGCTTGAGGGTTGCGTCGCCGTTGGACCATTCCTGTTTTAGCTTCACGCTCGGGGGCGTTCTGTCTTGGTGGTTGGAGGCCATGCTGACGGCGCTGGCGTTGCTGTCTACGGAGGATGAGAAGGCGGAGTTGCGGGAGTGGTGGGTGTCGGAGCTCGTGTCGCTCGCGGCTTCGAAGCTGGGTACTGTGCGGATGGTCTGGACCATCTTTTGGGTGCCTCGGGGAGACGGAGAGGGGCTGCTCGTCGACTGGATTCTGGTGTTCCCGTCGAAGCGAGTGCTCATGCTAACGTTGCGGGCAGCACCGGCGGTTGATGTTGCAAGGCTGCGGTTGGACTGTGTACCATTTAACGGGGTATCTGTCGTCGTTGTGGTCGCCGAGGAAGGATTCGCTGAGGATGCTTTGCGGGTGTCTATGGTGAGAGGAGAAGTTAGCCAAGGAGAATTCTCCCCAGAGATTTGCGTATCCCCCTCTCTCTCGGGCCGTCGAAAGTAGTGGCGCAAGGACGGAAGCGACGTCGATCGAGAGTCTTCAGGAGTGGTGGACTGGCGGCGGACGGGGCGAGGTTTCAAGCAAACAGCGGGAAGGACGGGGACCCTTACCGAGAATGAAGCCCTGGAATTCGGGGACTTGGGGAGGATTAGAGGGGATGCGCTGCGTCTGTTGCTTCTGTGGTTTTTGGAGTTTACTGGGCATGTCTCTCGTTCATTGTCCGTCTTGTTAAGGTTGAGTAGTCCGGGTAGGCTGGCCGAGGTTAAGATAGTTCGCGGGCTGGGTGTTGGGTAGCGCGTGGTAGTACTAGTAAGGTAGGTACGGTAGGTAGGCGGTTCAAGTATGTAGCAGCGGATGGTGGTTGCGGCAGACGGGAGGATGGGAAAGTTTGGGGGGGAGGGGAGCGCGTTCGTCTTTTTTGGATCGGGGGTGTGTTCGCTTCAGTGGTCGAAAACGGCGGGCAGCATGTGCGTCTGATGTCGCGGCGGCCGTTCGAGGGCACGAGGGGTGGCTGACGTGGGATTCTTTGGAGGGTTGGAATGAGAGCTGCAGCTCTGCGTCAAGCAGGACAAGACAAGCGATGGCGATTCCAGACGTTTCTTGGGGCGGAAGTCCGGGGCGATGCTTGGGACGAAGTTCCTCGGTGCGCAATGCAGGCGATGCAGGCGCAGAGCAGCGCAATGGCGATGCGATGCAGGGAAGAACGAGAATCTCGCTCCGCTCGGTGCCTGGCCTGATCACGGAGTGGAAGGCTGGCTGGTAGGTAGGTAGGTAGTATTTCGTACACTGCAAGCTAGGTAGGTACGACACCTAGGAATAAACAGCCGACGAACGTGGGTATGTGTGTTTTGTGTGTCTCTGCTTGCTCGGGGCTGTGTGTTTGGAGGCTACGTCAGTCAGGTCATTTTCCTCTGACAGGAGGTGGGAAAGGAGGGTCGAGCGAGAAGGGGAAAGCCCAGATAAATTAGTGTAAAAGAAGGGCCGCTCTGCTATGAGCATGGGATGGAAGAGAAAGAGGAAGACGACACGACAGGAAAAGGCTCCAGTTTCTCCTTGCAGCGCGTCCAGTGTCCAGTCCTTGTTAGCGAGGCCGGGTTCAATGGCAATGTTTTTCTGCGGCCCCCAGATTCGTTCTAAAGTGGATGCCTTTCCATTTCCTTTTTTTTCGGTGCACTTGCAAGCAATTCGAATGAAGCCGGTCCAGGCACAAGCAAAGCACAGGCATAATTAAGACTCACACGCGGATGGGCGGGAGCCACCACACCGCGTCGGGGAATCAACACTGCCCAGCTACGAAAACAGTCTAGCACAACACAACCACTTTACTTCGCTACTAATGTACTTGTGCAGGTACTGCCGCCATCGCCAGGCCTTGCCCTCCACCCTCACGCCAGACTCCCGACCGGCTGGGCAGGCAAATCACAGCGGACCACGAGCCCTGCGAGGCCACCACCTCCCAGGTCCTTCCGGGCTGCCGCAGCAGGGCCAGCCAGTCGGACCCCACTAAAAAAGGAGACCACCCTGTTCCCCAGCAACGAAGATCGCTGCTGCTGCGTCACTCTGTATCCGTCCAGTACTGGGTGCTGCGGCTGCTGCTGCTGCTGAGAACACAAGTCAATGCACGGCCCCTCGCATGTCCTCTTTCGTGACCCCCGTCCGTCTTTTTCGTGCCTGCCCGTCTTAGCTAAGGGGGGTTTAGGCAAGGGGAACATGGTGAAGCATTGAGGCGTTGTTGTCGATGTCACTCACAGACGGACGTTGATGGTTGGATGCATTACATCGAATTTCCCTCTTGTTTGAGTTGAACAACAACCAACCGCAGCATAGCACCCCTTTCTCCTGCGGCACCACACCCACAACAGACCAGCGCCTATCAACCCATCAAAACCAGAAATATCTTGACACACAACAGAAGAATAGCATTGCCTCCTCGCATAAAGTCAACTGCACCCCATTTCCCGCCCCTCGCCTCCCGCAGAATGAGACTAGCAGCAACCAACGAGAGATGCGATTTCGAGAAAAAGCAAAGCCCAGCCGCGTTTCCCCTCAATCCCATCCAGTCCCAACTCCGCCCCCGGCCCCCAGCGCAGATCAAAGACAACATCGTGCTCGATCCAACCCTCCCAAGGTTCCTCCCATCCTCGGTCCGCCTCTGGCAGCGAACCCCCCTCGTAGGGCACTGCCTGTCCTGGTCGTATCAGTGACAAAGCATCAAACCTATCAGGCAGTGGAACCCTTGAACATACGTCTTATTCACAACAAACCAACTTCAACTAAGTGCATGAATGAATCCCGTTCCACCCTTTGATTTAGCATAGCTAGGTACTCAAAATCCGACAACGAGGCTGAAAAAATCCCAAACGGAAAACGAAACCCAAAAACGGCAACTCTCCAACGAGGCCAACAGCACAGAAACACCAGAGTTCCTTGGACAAAATGTTGTTATTATTATCATCAGCCTCTTAACCTCCAGCCGAAAGGTATGCTCAACTACCCTGCATCATCAGAGAACATTGAAAACAGCCCAGCATCGTCAGATCGTCGGCTCCATCTGCATCCTCTCTTGGCGGAACAGCGCAACTGCACAACATTGATCAAAGCCTCTCTACGCCCAAGTTAACCCCTCCCCGCAAAAAAAGCCTCCTGACCCGCCCGCCCCCTTCTGTCTGTACCAAAATATTCTCCGACGCAGCATTTCCTTCCCGTAAACCTACACAAAGAGGCTGGATGTCGCCCGTCCTTCCCAAAGCAAGGCAAAGCTCAAAAAAAACGCATCGACCAACAACGCCGGCAGATCACCCGCGCGCCGCACGCCGCACGCCGCACGCCGCCGCCCCAGCCATCCAAACCCCCTTCGCATTAGTGTCGGTCGGTCTTCCGGAGTCTTTGCTCGGTCTGGCCTGGCCTCTCGGCCCCCCGGACCCCAACCACTGATAGCCCCACAGCGTCCGTCCAAACCGCTCCCGCCCTTCCCGTGCGTGCCAAGATGGCGCCTCACAGACAGCGGTCTTTGCCTCACTAGCTAGGAATGGGAATTCGTCTTTCGAATATCCGGCAGACAAAGATATGGAACACGGCACTCGAAGATCTCTCCGGAAACTTGATTTCCATTTGCTAAGCTTTAACTTTTGAGACTTCATCTCCGTTTGCCTTGCGAGGGGAACTCCTAACCCCTAATGTTATATATGCACAGTAGTAATCCGTACACTCCATGGTCTTCCCGTGGAAAACCTCATAGTCAAACGCCAATTCGATGCCATGCTTAGCCATTCCCGCGTACGATTCCCCCGCCATTCTGCGGTGGGGAGTCCTCGAACGCTCTCACTTTAGGGTATCCTCAGTCTGAAGCTCAAACAGCCCATGAACCACCATCGTTGACCACTGCCCGCCAGTGTCCACAGCAGACCTCTCTCTCTCCACATTCCAGTCCGCGCGTACCTTTTTTTGCCGTCTACATCCTTTGTTGTACTCATGTATATGTCTGTGTGAAAAATCATCCATGGTCGCGTCATTGATTGACGGCCGCATACAAGCGACCACCTTCACGTCGCGATGGCCGTGTTGTTGGTCGCCGCGGCAGCGTTGTTGTTCTCCGCGTCGCCCTTGGCCGCTTGGAGGAAGGCCGGTCTGAACTTGACGAGGTACTTCGCTGCCAACGGCTTTGCGTCCTCGACTGTTGTCGGCGTTAGCAAACATACCAGCACACATGGACCGGCCTCAACTTACACTCTGTCCAGATATTTTGCACAGTATCCAGAGCCATCTCCTTCGCCGGCGGCCGCATCATGACCAGGTACAGCAGACTTGTCAGTGCCAGGGGGACGACTGTCGGGTCTCGACAGATGGCCTTGACACGCGACAGAATCGCCGGGCTGAGTTCGGGAATCTCTCCCAGGAACCTCGTAAGCACCTTGTCCTGCGCATTGAGATATTGCGAGAAGCCGTCAATGAGCTTCAACGCCCACTTTTCGTAGTGCATGGGTTGATCGCCGGCTTGCTTCTTCTGCAGCTGGTCATTGTACCACTCTTCCGTCAACCACGTGATGGCTACATCGATGCGCCGTCGGAAGTCCTCGAGCACGTAGGTATATAGAGATTCTCTGATACTGTTGCCGAGTGAGAATCGTGCCGCAGAGCTACTGCTCTCGTCTTTGACGTCTACACCCTCCAGGCCTGCCGCAGACCTGCTAGCCAGACGTGTGATGATGGCAATCCACGATTCACGATCATTGCTACTAGCCGCCAATCGATTGATGCCAGACTTGGACTTCTTGGCCGGATCTTCGAGCGTCTTCACGAACTGGAACAGGGACATCACGGAACCTTGACCTGCGCTGAGCGCCATTTCGGGCGTCAGCGTCGGTGGCGGCGGCAACCTGAAGGACCTGAGCCCAAAGTCTCCGTCATCCAGCTTGGCCACACTATCGCCATCAAGCTTGTTCAGAATCTGCTCGTTGTCCTCGGCCGCAGAAAAGTCCGGCTCGTAGTCGTCATCGTCCTCGTCTACACCAAGCGGTGCAGTTTCTGGGTTAATTGGGGGTGGTGGCTGGGCAGCCAACGCATTGAGTCGTCCACGAATGCCCTACGGAGTGTTAGATGGGCGCCTCGGTTCGTGGCAGCGTACTTACCTCGAGCGCCTTCATAAGTAGATGTTGATCTGTACGGATGAGGGTGGTGATGCTGATCTTGGCGGCCATGGCGGGAGGCAGCGTTGCTACGTCAAACGCCTTGAGGCCTTCGCTGCCCGTGAGTGTGAACACATCGCCGAGGCTGTGAGGGCCTGGCGGCAGCGATGTGATCTGGATCTGTGGTGTTGTCGATACTTGTGGTACCAGTCGCTGACGCTTGGGGTCCATGCCGTCGTGGTGCTGAGCCTCATAAGCCCGTTTGCGGCCGGCCTCGTCGAATATCTCGTTTCGCATACGCATCATCCTCTCGACGTGCTGCTGGATTCGTGGCGCCATGGGGTTTTGCGGGTCGCTGGGTGCATGTTAGTCGGTGGCAAACACCAGCCAGAGACAGTGGAAACAGTACCGTTTGGACAAATGGATCAAGAGCATACGGGTGGTCTTTTCCATGGACTTGACCATTACGCGGGTTTTGGGAGTCATGGGCGAGTTTGCGAGCTTCAGTGGGTTGAAGTTGAGCACGGCATTCAAGATCCTGTTGGCCGTGCCGGGCCGTGTGCGGATCAAGATGGACAAGCAGTTGAGAGTGGCATCAACAATGAGAACATCACTATCACCAAGGCGCCTGCGGTTAGCTGTGATACAGGCCTGCTCCCACATACTGATCCTTACCTGCTGTTCTCCTGCAAGACGCTCAGCATTCTGTCCAGCAAACCAGCTCCTTCAGCGTCGAGCGTCCTAGCATCCAACGTCTGATGATTGGGCGGGATCTTGTCCAGCGATATGTCAAGAGAGTCACCACGCTAGGGAAGTTTGTCAGTGTCGTCAAGATAGCGATGCATTGGGCCGAGCCTACTCTGGGTTCCGCTGGGTTGGCCGTTGACTGCGCCAGTACGACTCGCTGTGCAAACTTGATGCAGCAAATGCGCACCGTAGGCTCAGCGTCGTCCCATATCCTGAGAATCCTCTTCTTGATCGCTACCATCCGCTCCCATGTGGTGGTGTCATACGAGTTGTTGATGCTACCGATAGAAAGTCAGCGTCCAGTCCTGCCCCTTCACCAGCAATCGCCGTTCAATCCTAGGGTCGTACGCACATCCATCTCAACGCATACGGGTAAACGCTAGCGGCAGTCTGTATAGCGCTCCGCAAGACATGGGCGTCCTCATTGGGGTTCTCAACCATGGTCTGCAGCGTGTCCAGCACGAAGAGCTGCATCGTCTCCTTCTCGCTTCCGGGGAGGGCTGGCGTCGCAAAGGCCTCGGCTAAGAAGTCGGCGCCCCATCTTCGTAGTTCGACGCGCGCGGAGGGTCCGACGATCGGAAGGATGCTCTGGACGACGTTGGGATAGTATTTGACGTCGCCGAGGACGAGTTTGCGGGCGTCGTTCAGTTGGCGGATTTGGTCGCTCACGGACTGCTCAGAGGCGGACGCCATCGTTGCGATGACCGATCGGGGATGAAGGGACTACAAGTCGAGCCGATCTCGCGAAGTACTCTAGAGATTCAAAAAGCGAGATATTGTGGTTTGTTGTGGCGGAGGTTGACCACGGCGAGGGGGTTTGAGATCACAAGGGTCGTGGCAGGAGCTTGTCGCGACTTGTCGAAATATGGAGAGCTCAAGCTTTTTCCAGGTCACCATGCCTCCAACGCGCCGGAAAATAAACAAGATCGCAATCGGTTGTCGTCTTCAAAAGGGTCGCCAGCAGAATCCGGTGGAAAATTTGTTGGATGGTTAGGCAACTTGAAGGTGACTGGTGTCCGATGTGATTGCCTTGTCCTTCTTTTTTCCCCCAAGCTCCAAAAGTGTGAAGTGTTTCTGCGGTGCAAGTGCAGCAGCGGCCTGGCGACGTCGAAAGGCTGCGTGACAAGCGACCAGCGACGCGGGTTATGACGGGGCGTGTCGACCTGGGTAGCTGCTTTGGGCTTAGCGTCCTTTGTGCCCTTTCTGCAGACAGCGCTCCGTGCTTGTGGTCGTGTGTGGTGAGTGGTGCCTGTGGGTGGAGAGAAAGACAGCCTGTGCACCCGTCTGGCCCCCTGGAGCTCTGGGCCTCTTTAAATCGAGATGTTGGACGTCCGGCAGATGAGAAGGAGCTGGCTCCGTGATGACGATGTAAAACCGGAAAGCTCCTTGATTTCGAAACACAATTGGCTTGGGATTTTAAGCTTGCACTTCGCAGCTGTTCTCACCGTAAGGTAGAAGAAGCACTAAAGGAAGCAAGGTATGTCTCTCATGCAAAAGGCAGCGAGCGCTCTCTGCGTCCTGGCCCGGCCCCCAAAAAAGACAACCGCTGCCCGCAGGGACCCCTGCCTAGGGGCTTATCGGATCAGTCTACGTCACTATCAGTTCAGCCGATCTTCAGCCGCTTTATCGATACCAATCAGCGGCGAGGGAATGTTCGGCCTGTGAATTTCCTCTAGATTATTCGGTCTATGCGACAGGCGAGATCGAACTTCATCACGGCGCAACCCACGATCGCCCAAGGGCAGCGACACACCCCGTCACCTCCACACCTGCGATATTTCTCATAGCGATCGAATAGAGCTGAAGGCCGATAAATCCAGTCGCAATGGCAATGTATAGCAACGAGTCCCCCGCAGTCACCCGCTGAGTGTGGTCTGACGAGCAAAAAAACAGCCCCAAGAAGTCCTCCTACTACGATCGCAACCTGCGACAAGGGCCCGCCCTGATCCGAGCACGCAAGCCTTACCTCGTCAAGAACCTCGCTGTTGGTGCCGGTCTGTGGTGCTTCGCCGGCGCAGTGTGTATGTGGCGACTGTTCATATTCAAGAAGTGTTTAGCTAATTAGGCATCTTAGACTGGTACACTCTCAAGGCGGTCGGACAGGACGAGTTCGAGGACGTCAAGGTCCCCGATGTTCCAAGGCAGCCGGCAAAGAACAACTGAGGGTACGATGCAGCGGATGAACGATGAAACGAGGCAACAGTGTCACTATGTGGCCAGGTCATAAGACGCCGAATACATGGGTTTGCAAGTGAGAGCGCATTTGCATTGTATAATATATGCCGGCGAGAAGAAGTCGCCTCCTAACATGAATGCACCTCTGTAAAAAATCAAAAACAACCAATCAACTTCTGTACATGTCTCGTTAAAGGTACAGGGAACAACTGCCCACCCCAATGCAGACGAGGCGCCCCAAACCGATCCAAACCACCCGTCTTTTTCTTTTTAAAACTGAGGGACTTCGCACGTCTATGCGAACCCAACGATGAAAAGCCAACGCCTCTGTGCGCGGCATAAACGTAACCGAGATGAAGAAAATAAAAGAGGGCGATGCGCCCAAGCCGTCGTGGGGTATCATAACAGTACAGTAAGCCTCGAAAACGCCGTCAGCAACCGGGTGATGCCTCTCAACTTGCCACCGCTGTCGCTGGTTCCTGTTTGGGCGCCGAGTCCTTGGCCGCTTTCGATGCCCGACTTCCTGCGCGCTTCATCTGAGCGCTCTGCGTGAGAACGTTTGCTGTCCTTACCATCTCTGGGGATGCAGAAGGAAACAGACTCGTGTGTGGTGACGTCTGCGGGACCGCGTGGCCGTTCGATAACGGCGGCGGTTGCGATGGGCCTGCTGGAGTCTTGCTCTGCGACGGGCTGTTGACCCGCGCCCCCTGCGCCGAAGGACCTGTGCTGATCTTGTGGGAAATGTGGTTCGGGTTTGCCCAAGGCGTGTCCTTAATGAATTGCTCGCCGGCAGGGCCAAGAGCACCCCCGAACGCAACTGCTTGATAGTCCTCAAGAGGCTGCATCATTGACCTTTGACGAGGCTTTGAACTGCGCTGGGAGGCCATTAGCGGATGTCCGGTAGAGCCAGGGGACGATGTTATCTTACCTTCATGGCCTCTAGATCGTCTTCGACTTCCATCGCGTTGGCGCCGCGGATGGCGGGCATCGCAGGGAAACCTTCGTGCTTGGCAAGCCCTGCAAGGAAAGAAACTTCCGAGTTGTACGCGACAGCATTCCTGGTGCGCTGGGTCGGGTTGGTAGGGAACAGAAGCCCGTAGTCTGGCACGCTATGCGCGCTACGTCTAGCATTCTGTGTCTCGTACCACTCCTTGTTGAGATCCTCTAGCATCTTTGAGCGCTGTTCCCTTACGCCTTGGTAGAACTGGTCCCAGATCTGGGCGCGGCGTGCCACAGCTAGTCGTTCAAGCGCCTCGACGGACAACTCGTACTCCTTGTTCATGTGCAGCAACTTCTTCTCGAGCCTCTCGTCCAAGCATTGCTTCATGTTGAGGTACTCGGGATGGGATGGAGGTTCGGCTTGCAGGGAGTGCTCCTCTTGCTCGAGGCGCTCTAGGCGATCCTTGTACAGTCTGCCGCAAATCAATCAGCGCGTGTCGGACGGGGTGATTCGACGCGTAGAATACTCACCGCTCGCGGAAAAACACAAACTTCTCCTCCAAATCTGTCCATTCCTCAACAGCGGCACGCTTCTTCTCGACTAGAAATCTGGTCAGTCTAAGCTTCGTGCACTAGGTCAAGGGGTCCTTACGCTCTTCGTCGTGTGTCGCTTCCGCGTCGTCGTCACCCTCGTGTTCAGCGTGATCGTCCTCGTGAGTCCCCGCATCCTCGTCACCCCGGCTATCATCGCGGGCGTCGTCATGGCCTTCATGGTCATGAACCTCGGCAGCATTGCCTTTGCGCTTGCTGCCGTTGCGGGTAATCTTTTTCGTTATTTGAGCGTCCTTCACCGGGCTCTGGCCGTCGCGCGACAGACCACGCTTGGTCGGTGGAAGCTCGGGGGCGTTGTCGTCGGTCGCAGAGTGGTCGCCGCTGTGGGAATTTGTGGATGGGACCTCGTCCTCGTGCATCTCCACGTCATTCTTGTGTGGTTCCTGGTCCTGGGGCACGACTGACCCGGTGCGCTTCCTGGAAGGCTGCCCTGGCTCGCTTGACTCCGCGATCGGCGACCGTTTTCTCTTCTTGTTATCGGCGCTCTCAGGGTTGTCTTCGGCGGAGGGGAGCTCTGTGGACTTCTTGGGCTTGCTGGGTGACGCCTCGTCACCGTGGCTGGAGGCCATCGACACGTCGTCGTGGTCGGAAAGACTGTCGTCGTCGCCATCGTCGGCGCCGTCGACGGAAAATGTCTTTTGGAGCTTGCTAGGCGTGCGTTCAAAGATCTGGCCGTCGTTGAACTGATTGACGACCACGTCCTTGTGCCGCTGGGCCTGCGGGGTGTCGTAGAGGCGCTCAGTCTCCGCCTCGGTATCGTTCGCCTCGGACAGGTTGCTGTCGGAGTCGAGCGCATCGTCGTGGTGTGACTGAGGCGGATCGAGCTGCATGCCATCGAGGGAGTCTCCGCCGTCCTTGTCCTCGACGTCGCTCAGAGGGCTGGAGATGTTGCTGTCGTCATGATCGAGCGTCGCCTGGCCCGGTGAGAGGGCAGGCGGCGCTGACGCCGTGGCTGCCATTGAAACGAGGACTTGATACCGTGCTTTGCGATATCAAATCGGGTGGTTCGGGTGCAGGATGGGTCGCGGCCGGGTGCAATTCGACCAGACGTTTTCGTGGGAACGACGGCGACGGGGCGCGGAGGGACAAGCAGAACCAGCAGAGGCAGGTTGGGGTGGTGGGCTGGCCGTTGTGGGGAGAAAAGCGAGTGTCTGCCAAAATCTAGAGGTAAATAAAAGCTGGCAGAGGATAGCATGAAAGCTTGAGATTGCGTAGAGCCCGGAATCAGAGGTGGGCGAGGCGCGGAGTGGTGGTGTTGTGGTGGGTTTTCGGAGATGGGAAGAGAAGCGTTAGTGACCTGCCGCTCCATGAGAGATGCGCTCACCTGCTGCTCCCTCTCTCTGTGCCTTTGCCCGTCTTGCCCAGTGCGGAACCAGCATCGGTCGGCAGAACGAGTCCTCGCCCTGACAGCGAAAGCGGTGAGAGCTGGCACAACAGTGGGCACGGGGCACTTGTTCTCGGCAAATAGCGCCCGGCAGACCTTTTGCGCCAATGGCTGGTTGTTCCGTTTCTTATCAGCCTCCGAACCGCCGAAAATTCCTTATCGGCTTGGGGGGCGCAGGCCGGCGACAGAGGAGCTTGATTATTTTTCTGGCGGGAGACTTTGGCGGCCGGTGCATCTACAGCAGGCCCGCTGCAGAAAAAACATCGTGACGTTACGCAAGCAAAGAAACTCGTCGCAACAATGGCCAAGGGGTATGGTTGGGACTATTTGAAGTGTTACAACACAGAATACTTACATGTTTACCAGTAACTCTAAAATTACGGCCTCAACAAAGGCTATTGACCCCACCCTCGATGCACTCTTCGCATCCAGTGTAAGTCTTTGATATAACACTGGTAGTCGGCCAATTGAAGTCGCATAATTCTAACAAATTCCAGGCTGGTCCGGTCAAGGCTCCATCTACGACGAGATACTCCCAAGCGCCGCCCCCGAAGCCAAAGCCCGAAACGGCAGACTCTGACGAAGAACTGCCCGATGCCGATGAGGAAGACGACGAAGAGCTTTCGGAGCTAGAGCAAGACTCCGAGGAAGGAAGCGATGACGACGATGAGGCCGAGGCTGAGTCAGAGGAAGAGGAGGACCTAGAAACCGCCGCGAAACCTAAGAAGGAGCGCAAGCGCAAGAGGGACGAGGACGATATCGAGGGCAAGTACCTAAGCAAGCTTGTGCAAGCCGAGGAGAAGGAGACACCCGCGGAGAAGCGCAGCAAAAAGGAGGACAAGAACGAGGAGGCAGCTTCAGAAGAGGAGGAGGAGGAGTCCGACTCTGAAGTCCCCGTCCATGAGTCCCTCGCAGCCGAGGGCAAGAACAAGGACAAGAACGACGAGATCGACAAGGCGAACCGCACCGTCTTCCTCTCCAACGTCGCCTCCGAGGCCGTCTCCAACAAGGCCGCCAAGCGCACCCTCGAGGCCCACCTCACCAGCGTCCTCGACAAGGACGCCACCCCGGCGCAAAAGATCGAGTCCATCCGCTTCCGATCCGTCGCCTTCTCCGGCGGCGCCCTGCCCAAGCGCGCGGCCTACATCACCAAGGCCGTCATGCAGGAGACGACAAAGTCCGCAAACGCGTACGTCGTCTTCTCGACCCCCGCGGCCGCGCGCAAGGTTGTCGCAGAGCTTAATGGCACCGTTGTCCTGGAACGCCACCTGCGCGTCGACAGCGTTGCCCACCCTTCTCCGACAGACCATCGCCGCTGTGTGTTTGTTGGTAACCTGGGCTTCGTCGACGACGAGACGATTACTACAGTGGACGAGGCCGGTGAGACGGTGCAGAAGAAGCGCACCAAGGTTCCCGCAGACATTGAAGAGGGTCTGTGGAGGACGTTTGGCAAGCAAGCTGGCAAGGTCGAGAACGTGCGCGTCATTCGTGATCCCAAGACGAGAGTGGGCAAGGGTTTCGCCTACGTTCAGTTCTACGTGAGTACCAACAGAGCTCCCCAGGTTGCAGTCGCAAGATGCTAACATTCACAGGACGCCAACCACGTCGAAGCAGCCCTCCTCCTGGACGGCAAGAAGTACCCTCCCATGCTCCCCAGAATCATGCGCGTAACCCGTGCCAAGGCCCCCCACAAGACGGCACTCGCAATGGAGCGCTCATCCAAGGCGAGGGGTCAAGCCGCTCGCGGCGCACCGGGTAGCACAAGCTACAAGGCGAAGATCACTCCCGAGCAAAAATCCATGGCCGGCCGTGCAAGCCGTCTTCTGGGTCGCTCCGGTGCCATGCGTGAGCAGCGCAAGGGCGGTGACAGGAAGCCCCCCAGGGCCAGCGGCTCTGGTGTTGTTCCCAAGGATGACATCAAGGCGCCGGAGGCCTTCATCTTTGAGGGACGTCGCGCCAGCGCCAAGGACGGCAGGCCCAAGGATCTCAAGTTCGGCAACAAGAGGGCCAAGGTCAAGGGTCGTGTCCAGAAGTCGAAGCCTACAGGTCGCGGCGCGAAGAGAGCGGAGGCGTGGAAGAACAAGGAGAAGAAGTAAAGAGGTTGTTAATGATCGGGCAGAGAAGCATGTATTATTGTCAGGGAATACCACTGGTGAACATAAAACGGCATAGGTAAAAGGCGTCCAAAAATGAGATAGATCACTTATTGCAGCCACATGATAATTCTTACCTCACTTCATTCCTGATATTGTGACATCACTGGAGTGAGGTCGTCTGGCACGCTGATGTGGAAATGTAATGTGCAATTTCAGTTACAATTGACTACGGGAAAAGGCCCCGACCTTTCAAGTATCGGGGAACCAAAAGACCACGTGTATGTACTCGTGTGAAGAAAAGGGACTTGGTCTCATCTATTATCAACTCGAGCTTGACTCCGAAATATCCATTCATGGGTTATGGGGTAATCCAGTGTCTTGCGCGTCCATGTCCGTTCAGTGGGAACGAGAACAGAGAAATCTACTGAACCGACACTCCAACGGCCGCCAAAACAAACTTTTTCGTGAATTCGTTTCGCCCAAGGCCACCAGATACGTCGTAGTTCGTCGCAGTAACCGATTTACCGCGAAACGAAGAAACGGTGCGTCCGATGTCGGCTTAGTACTCAATGTCTCCCTCGTCGGCCTCGTAGGAGTCGGCAGCGACCTCCTCGTAGTCCTTCTCGAGAGCGGCAAGGTCCTCACGGGCCTCGCTGAACTCACCCTCCTCCATACCCTCACCGACGTACCAGTGGACGAAGGCACGCTTGCTGTACATGAGATCGAACTTGTGGTCCAATCTCGACCAGGCCTCGGCGATGGCGGTGGTGTTGGAAAGCATGGAGACGGAACGGTCGACAGAGGCAAGACCACCGTCGCCGGCGGCGGCGGGAACGGCCATGGGCTTCTGGTAGTTGATTCCGAGCTTGAAACCAGTAGGGCACCACTCGACGAGGTTGAAGGAGGCCTTGGCCTTGAGGGCGGCGATGGCAGCGTTGCAGTCGCGGGGAACGACGTCTCCACGGTACAGGAGAGCGACAGCCATGTACTTGCCGTTGCGGGGGTCGCAGACGACCATCTGGTTGTTGGGCTCGAAGCCTGCAATCTGTCAGTTTCTGTGTTCTCAAAGCGCGTAGGTACTGGGGCAGACGTACACTGGAAGGTAAGCTCCTGAACCTTGAAGCTCTCGTGAGAGCTCTTGGAAGCCGAGATGACGGGAGCGTAGCTGATGAGGGGGTAGTGGATACGAGGGTAGGGGACCAGGTTGGTCTGGAACTCGTTCAGATCGACGTTGAGAGCACCGTCGAAGCGGAGAGACGAGGTGATGGAGGAGACGACCTGAGCGATCAGGCGGTTCAGGTGGTCGTACGAGGGACGGGGGATGTCGAGGTTGCGGCGGCAGATGTCGTAGACAGCCTCGTTATCAACCAGGAAGGTACAGTCCGAGTTCTCGATGGTGCTGTGGGTAGACAGAACAGCGTTGTAAGGCTCGACGACGGCAGTCGAGACACGAGGAGCGGGGTAGACGGCGAACTCGAGCTTCGACTTCTTGCCGTACTCGGTGGAAAGGCGCTCAAGGAGCAGAGCACCGAAACCGGAACCGGTACCACCACCGAAGGAATGGAAGATCAGGAAACCCTGGAGAGAGTGGCAGTTGTCTGTTGATGTCGGTCAGTTTGGGCGCGGGCTGACGGGTATGCATTGGGCGGGCAGGAACGAACCGGCGACGCGGCGGACACGGTCGATGACATTGTCAACCATCTCCTTGCCAATGGTGTAGTGGCCACGGGCGTAGTTGTTGGCGGCATCCTCCTTGCCGCTGATCAACAGCTCGGGGTGGAACAGCTGGCGGTAGCCACCAGTCCGGATCTCGTCAATGGGGGAAGGGTCGAGGTCGACGAAGAGGGATCGAGGGACGTATTTGCCATTGCTAGTCTCGGTAAAGAACGTCTCGTAGGATCCTCCGTCGACGACGTCCTTGGCGTTGGGGTCAGGACGACCATCGGGGCCGAGGCCGTGCTCGAGGAGGTAGCTGCGCGCTGGCGGTCAGTCCATCGGATTTTCCATCGGATAAGGAAGGCATGGGACGAAGAAAGTCGACGTACAGCTCCCAAGCAGAGTTACCCAGCTGGGTACCGGCCTGGCCGAGGTGAAGGTGAAGAATCTGGAGAAGATTGATGTCAGTTTCGAAGCTATCAGGGCCGAGGCAAGGCGAGGTAGGCTGGGTAGCTGGGCTGGATTTCAGGGGTTGTTGCTGCCGCGAAAATGGACAGCGAAGCCACAATGCAGCAGGTTGAATCGCCTGTTGGGAATTTTGGAAAAGAAGACGCGTTTACTTACCTCGCCCTTCATGATGAATCGTAGCTGGACGGTTCTGGAGGGATACTGCGACGCAAATTGGGATGGGGAAGGGGAATATTTTCACGCGCGCAGCGCAGAGATGAGGTTCGGAAGAGCTAGGGGGAGGGAAGGCGTGGTGATGGTTTTCAGAGGGTTGGAGGGTCTCTTGTTGTGGGCAAGGCGGGGCAGAATCAACAAG